GCGACAGGCAATTAAAGCCCAAATATTAGCAGACTTTTTGGTTGAAATGACACACTTACATGAGGCTGAGGACAGCGTCGATTGGATCATTTACGTCGACGGATCTTCCAATATCAAGGGAAGTGGTGCAGGAGTAATAGTGGAAAGCCCTCAAGGTATTACGGTGGAACATTCTATCCATTTTGGATTTAAAGCTTCAAACAACCAGGCTGAGTACGAAGCAGTCCTCGCAGGACTCGCCATGGCCAAAGACTTGGGGGCAACAAACATAAATCTCAAGAGTGATTCACAATTAGTAACTGCTCAAGTTCAAGGAAGCTATCAGGCCAAGGAGGCATTAATGATAAAATATCTGGAAAAAGTGAGACTCCTACTAACAGAATTTTGAAGCTATAAAGTGGAGCATATCCCTAGAAAACAAAATTCACGGGCTGACATATTATCCAAGTTAGCTAGCACAAAAGGACCTGGAAACAACAGAACAGTGATCCAACAAAGCGTCCCAAATCCTAGCGTCATAATGGCCAAAACCAAACGACAAGCTCAACCATCCCAAAGCACGCAATCCATGGTTGAGGATGAATCTATGCCCTGGACGATAACAAAACTTGGATGACACCAATTTGGAACTATCTACTCAAAGGAGATGCACCACAAGAAACGCGCGCGGCCAAAAAACTAGCGCGCAAAACCTCCTTCTACACCATCATCAATAACCAGCTTTACAAAAAGGGATTTTTTTCTCCAATGCTCAAATTCTTAGATCCCCAACAAGCTCAGTGCATAATCTCTGAAGTACATAAGGGAATTGGTTGACACCACATGGGAGGTAAATCTTTATCTCGAAAATTACTCCAGGCAGGATACTTTTGGCCTACCATGGAAAAGGACTCCAAAAAATATGTGCGACATTGTGTCAAATGTCAAGAGCACACAGACTTACACCATGCTCCCCCCGAGGAATTATCTTCAATGCTATCCCCATGGCCATTTTATCAATGGGGCATGGACATTCTGGGACCATTCCCAGTCGCCGTCAGATGGGTCAAATGGTTGTTAGTAGCAATTGACTACTTTTCCAAATGGATTGAGGCAGAAGCGTTAGCCACAATATCAGCCAACAAGGTTCGCCGATTCTTCTACCGACAGATCATCAGTCGATTCGGTGTTCCACACACCATTATAACAGACAATGGCACACAATTCGTGGACAGAAAATCAATCAAGTCCTTCAAGATTTGCATGTTAAACACCGATATACGTCGGTTGAACATCCACAAACGAACGGATTGGCAGAAGCTGCGAATCGAGTTCTCAAACGCGGTTTGGAAAGAAGATTAGAAGCAGCAAAAGGGGAGTGGCCTGAACAGTTAGACTTTGTGTTATGGGGATACAGAACAACCAAACACTCAACCACTGGTGAAACCCATTTCGAATGGTCTACGGTTCTGAGGCTATGATCCCAGTTGAAATTGGAGAACCATCATGGAGAAAGATGTACACAGACTCAGACAACAGTTCGCAGGCATTACTTCATAATTTAGACACGGTTGAAGAAATGGGCGAGATCGCGCATGTCAAGGAAGCAGCACTCAAACAGAGGATTGCAGCGCGCTACAACTTAAAGGTTGTCAAACGAGGCTTCAACGTGGGCGACTTAGTCCTACGCAGGGCAGACATTGGCAATAAGAACGCGCGACAGGGCAAACTGGGAAGGACCTTATCGCATCTACAGCAAAACTGATAAGGGGGCATATGTCATTGAGACACTATCTGGCCTTACTATCCCGCACATATGGAACGCAGACAAGCTTAAGACATTTTATAGCTAAGTCTCTCATGACTCACACGCTGTTATCTTTGAGCTTTTCTCCTTCATTATTATTATTTCAAATAAAACGAACCAGTTTCCCTTTACTATTGATCAATCTCTGCATTAAGTTTCCAAATCACAGGATCACAAACGTTCCTGTCATACAAGGTTCTCTCACGAATCCTCCAATTAACAGGAAACCTCTCACGGTTCCTATCAACTTACAAGGTTCTCTCAAGAATCATCCAATTTAAAGGAAACCTCTCACGGTTCCTATCAACTTACAGGGTTCTCTCACGAATCCTCCAATTTACAGGAAACCTCTCACGGTTCCTATCAAATTACAGGGTTCTCTCACGAATCCTCCAATTTACAGGAAAGCTCTCACGGTTCCTATCAACTTATAGGGTTCTCTCACGAATCCTCCAATTTACAGGAAACCTCTCACGGTTCCTAACAAATTACAGGGTTCTCTCACGAATCCTCCAATTAACAGGAAACCTCTCACGGTTCCTATCAAATTACAGGGTTTTCTCGCGAATCCTCCAATTAACAGGAAACCTCTCACGGTTCCTATAAAATTACAGGGTTCTCTCACGAATCCTCCAATTTACAGGAAACCTCTCACGGTTCCTATCAAATTACAGGGTTCTCTCACGAATCCTTCAATCCACAGGACACCTCTCATGGTTCTTATCAAATTACAGGATTCTCTCACGAATCCTCCAATCAACAGACTTGACAATAAAGATCTCCTCAATAGATCACAAGCATACAGGTCGCGATCCCCAAGGGTGTATCGTGATCTTTCACGCTCAAACGCGATGGCATAACCAAAGGTATGCAAAAAAAAAAAAAATATTTTACAATAAACTATTTAGACATACAGCATGCAGATATAGTGTTTAAGCGCCATACGACGTACACACCCCAACTCCAACATGCAAAGCATACAATCGCGTCGCTATGCAGACATGGTGTTCAAGCGCCATACGGCGTACACACCAGAGCGCGACCTCGTTCACTTTACAGGACTCTATACTTAAAGGATTCCTTTGTAACAAAGCACGACATGCATATGATCGCGGCGCAACATACAAATAGAATACACTTCAGCTGCGGTGAAGAGCAATTTGAAGAAGGATGAGAAGGGTAATACCCTATTACAAAGAATGCAAATTTTCAACCGATTAACAACAGTCTACAAAAAGAGAGCAATGCAAGCATTCGTTCAGCAACAGATATATATTTAGCAAAATAACCTCAAATGTCATAAACTTCAAAATTTGCGGGAACAATGCCCGCATCATAGTTATGGGGATACCCTCTTTACACATACTACAAATAAAAAGAAGCAGAAGATATATAAAGGACATCAGCATATCAGCGATAAACTTCAGACGGTCTGGATTGACATGTCCTGATGAGTGTCAGCAGCACGCTCATTATTAACAGCAGGAGGATCTTGAGGCAACGACACTTGCAAGGATGGCGCGGTCATGTCTGTATCCATCGCGCTAATCAGCTCCACTGGGACCTCTTGATTTTGCTCATTCAGGGTCACCAGCTGGCCATCCTTGAAGTAATGATAGAAGTGGACATTCTCCAATTTGGCTGAGGGGTTGAAGAAACGCACTTGTTCGATCACGTTCACGAAGGTATCCTCCACCTCCTTCTCGAACAACTCCTGATACCTCTTAACCTCAGCGGTCAAGTGGGCCTTTTCATCGGCCCAGGTATCAGTGTTCCCTTCAAGCTCCAGTATGCGCTTCTCCAGATCAATCTTCTTCGCCCCCAGGCTTCTGTTGGCAATCGTCAGCTTCTTTATCTCAGCATCCTTCTTCTCCATCTCAACCGTCAGCAGGGAAACCTTGTCCTCAGATGTCTTCAATTCGGCTTCAGAAGCAGCGCGCTGTTGGGCATTTTCTGCTTTTAACTCCTAGATACGTTCCTTCAGGACGTCTACTAAATCTGGTACATATCAAACAACAGGTTACACATGCAACCGCAATGTTATAGTATACAAGCAAGCAACATGGAAAGCCAAACATACTTACCAGGTGCGGTCATGATAAATTGGCCAGCCGCGATCAGACCCTAGGCAAGCTGCCGCCATTGATCCCGCGGCAGAGCTTCCAGGTGCATGCCAAACTCCTTACCCTGAGCCCGCAGGTCATTCACGGCTCTCCAGTCAAAATTTGGCCACCCTACAGCTGGCCCCTCGGACATCGCTTCAAAGGTTCTTTTTCTTCCTCTCGCAATGTCCTCCCCCACTACTATTGGCGGGATAACTTCTTGTGGAGGGGAAGGAGAGGTGCGTAATCTCAAAGGAGATTTCAACTGTACAGCGGCGTGACCACTTGACTCAGCAGCAGCAGTTTTGATTGGTTGAGAGGAGGATGAAGAGCCAGCAAGAGCTGCGCGGTTGGCAGCAATTTGCTCCATTCTGCTCACTGGCGCCATCCTTATACTTTATGCACAATAGAAACAAATGGATGGTCAGGCATACTTAGTTAATACATACAGGTAACGTTACATAAACATTCAAGACAGATCAGAACACGAAGGAAATTACCCAGGTAAGCTCGCACATCATTTTCAGTATTCTCGTTCAAAATAGTATATGTATCCAGAGAGCCTTCCCCAGCAGCTTCACGAGTGATCTTACCTAAAGCAGTCACCGTCTGCTGCTCTAGATCACTCAGATCCGTAAAATTATAACTTAACACGGAACTTTATGTCGGGTATTGTGACCAATACAAAGGGAAGATAAGAGCCTGGTCCTCACCTATGAAAAACGGCGTAGTACCTTCGGCGAGATAGATCTTGAAATACTCTGCGGTCCACTTATTAATCTTTCTGCAGTATGACCCGCAGAACTTTTGTTTACCCCTAAAAGAAATCCAGTTGTTGCGAGAGGGCATTACACTAAACATATACAAAAAAGACTGCACAGACTGAAAAAGGCCATAAGCCTTACACACCATCTCATATACTCTAATAAAGCCCCAGGCGTTGGGGGTCAGTTGTGAGGGCGCCACATTCAAATGCGCCAACAATTTACAGACGAAAGAAGAAAAAGGAAGACGGACACCTAGGGACAAGAAAAAGTAAGAGTACATCATCATATAATGCCTGGTTGACCCCTCGGCCAGCGATGAACAAACACGTTCATTCTTCGGGACAACTCCAACCTCCCATTGATTGTCAAAAGCTTTATCTGGGGTCAGATGCAAGGCCGCGGTTACCTCCGCCAACTCTCCAGGAGAAGAATATATCGACTCAGTTTTCAAAATTGAGTCTGACACCCACTCGAGGGTATCAACATCCCGGATGCTTTGCCTGTTCAGGGACCGCGTCTCTGACGGTTCTGCCTCAGGGTTAATTTGTACGGTTTTCTTCTTCCCACCAGGCTATGATGTGACGATCTTCTTATCGCGGGCATTATGTTTCTCCATTATCTCCTTGATACAAGCGAACACAAAATCTGATTCAGAAGAAGAGGAATCAGTGGAAGAAGACAAATCAGTGGACATAGGTTTATAATTATCAAAATTCCTTTTCTTAAAAGGATATCCAGCTGGATAAACCACATTCAACGGCAAAGGACTAGGACTCTTTGGTCCTGAAGACTCATGCGCGATGGAGCAAGAAGAATCGCGTGATGAACTCGAGAAAGGCGATTTGGGGCTTTTTGACTCTGCCGATTTATAGCTACTATCTGAATTAACAGAAGAATCACTCGATAACACAATGAGCTTGGACATATTTCCAGGAAAACGAGGAAACAAAGACGAACTATGGGCTAATAATGCCTTCTCGCAAGGAGGTTGTCGCGAGGTTGACCCTAACTCGAAGGTGCGACTTAAGGGCACATGCCTAGCACATGCTTTGGTACATGGAGCTAGAAGTACTACAGTAGGCCTTATGTCCCTGGTTCCCAAGGACTTTGATCTGGGTAATAACCTCGACGGAAGACTAGATGAACCAGACCGTTCAAGGAATCTGGTAAAATCCGCACCGTTGTACTTCTCCGGCATACCCCAGAAAGGCAGACCCAAAATGAAGAACTAAAACACAGATGCAACAGATGATAAGAAGAAAAAAACGTACCTGAGATTTATAATTTCGAACTTCGCAGCTACGAGCAGGACGTGTCACCACCAGAAATGCAGAATAGAGCCCTGAGAGACGAAGTAAGCTTTCCACTACAAATGACCAAATGATCTTCCCTCCTAAAGAAAAGGCACAAATACGAAGAGTTTTTCTCCAACGGATACTCCAAAAGCCGTGAAACGTGTTAAACACAAACACCGGTTAGTGGGACACGTGGCGGGAAGGGGAAGCGTTTTACTCGTAAAACACCCACGAGTGTCCTTAAACCCCCACGTAATCACTGCTGCATTTAATGCTCCTGATTGATTAGACATCTAATCCACCGTTCTTAAGCGGTCGAAGGTCATGATGACACTACAAAGCATCATTACCGCGGACAAACAACGGCATATGACTCAAAACACTACCGCACCTCATACACAAAGACATATAGCTCACGGCCTTGTCACATAGACAACGCCGCAAGCTAGGGGGCATCTGATCCGGATATAATATAGGTCTAACCAGGGCCCAATAAACACATGGAAGCCCAAGCTCATAAAAGACCTATAACAAGGCATAAAAGACAGGCACGGGACGCGATAACCCTATCGCGTCACACTAGCGCGATGTCCATATCGCGGAACACCAGGCGCGATAGTCCCATCGCGTCATACACGGCGCAGTGCCTCATCACAACATGCAGGATATACTAACTCCCCACGCAACGGGATACCTTCTACAGACAGTAAACTTAAGGGTCAAGGAAACACCACCGTGCCCTCACACCAGTAAGCAATGGACAGCTCCAGCTCGCCACAACTCTACTAATAGACACCATGGCGGCAAACTCCTCAACATTTAAACCATGACAGCCACACTACGTTGCCACCAAAGAACCTTTGCCTTCACCATGAAGAAAGGTCTCCTCCAAACACATATCTTGATTACTATATAAACATACGTTGTGCCACCAAGGTACGATCATCCTTTACTTTCACAACATAAACACTTGCCTCTGATACTGACTTGAGCATCGGAGTGTCTTCGCAGGTACCCCCCCATCCGGTGCAACGTGAAGGACGAAGGACAAAGAGCTCAGGCTCATCCGACATCAACAGTACCAGGCCCAGGCCAGTTACCATCTAAGGAGTCTCAACCGTGTGTGATTTGGGCTTGATACGCATTGGGCCATCCCTACCGTATCTGGTCAGATCAGGTGTAAATTATAGGATACTTAATATTATATTTTTAATTTCAAATTATAATTATAAATGAACATTTTATTGCATTTAAAAATTTGTGTTGTATATATTTAATATAATTGAAATTATTATTGGGGACTTGAAATATTAGGATAAATAATATTTAAGTTTTTTATTTTATTTTTTTCTTTAATATAAGATTAAACCATAGGTTAATTGATATGAATTATTTTTGTTAAATTAATTAGTTTAGGGTAAACTATAAGATACTTAATATTATATTTTTAATTTCAAATTATAATTATAAATGATTTTTATATTGCATTGAAAATTTTTGGTGTATATATTTAATTTAACTGAAATTATTATTGGGGACTTGAAATATTAGGATAAATGATATTGAAATTTTTTTATTTTTTATTTTTTCTCTTAATATAAGATTAAACCATAGGTCAATGATTTGAATTATTTTTCTTAAATGAATTAGTTTAGATAAACTATAAGATTCTTAATATTATATTTTTAATTTCAAATTATAATTTTAAATGAAATTTATATTGCATTTAAAAATTTTTGTTGTATATATTTAATTTAATTTTAATTATATTTGGAGACTTGAAATATTAGAATAAATTATATTTAAAATTTTAAAATTTTTATTTTCCTCTTAATATCGAATTAAACCATAGGCTAATTGATATGAATTATTTTTGTTTAATGAACTAGTTTTATAAATGGATTTTTAATATTTTATTAAATTTTTGTGCTGTATATATTTAATTTTTTTAATTATATATTCAACTTTCGCATACAGTTCAATAAAATGTCAAGTTTGTGTCATTTTTAAATTCATCCACTACTAGTGCGACATCTTCATCCTCGACAATCTCCACAGCAACCCAGTTCTCTTTACCAAAAGTGCATCTCGCAGTCAACCGAGACAAATGTTAGCTCCGTTGTAATCTCAATTTCTTGTATATTATCTTCTTTAGATCATGAAAACTACATCGAGAGTTCATGCGAAACATTTTTGTGTCTCCTTCAAAAACTTCACCACTAGGACCAAAATATCTCCTCCATTATAATATACAATAGCAACAATTGAATCATTTTCGTCACCCATTTTGAAAAAATAACAGAGGCAGGAAAATAACTCGGATTAAAATTCAAATATGTACCCAAACAAAAGGGAAAGTGATATAACAGAGAACTGAAAATTTCAGAATGACGAAGGAAAAAAACACGTGGGAGAAATACAAATTTTCAATAAGAAATCAGATGAAAAAGGAAATAACTAGAAAGAATTAAAATTTTAATATGTAACTACCACTTCCATTTGAAGATACCGAAAATAGAAAACATTATCTCATCAGAGAACAAAACAAATACCGAGAACAGTAAAGAAATAGCTACTCATGACACTACGGGAAATGGAAAGGCTTCGGACAAAAATAGCACAAAAATCACTACACAATTTTGGTTCGCTGCTGGCAAGGGGAATTATTATTGGAAATGGCTAGGCTTCGGACGAAAATAGCAGAGATCACTGAACAATTTTGGTTCGGTGGTTGCGGATTTATTAGACCAAAGTAGCTACCTATGTCAGCTACACGTGCAGCGCTATGTAGTAGGCCAAACTAGCTGAATTATCCAGCGACTTTGAATCATAGGTTTGCCCTATCAGAAAAAGCATACCATAGTCGCTGCATATCATGGCTACTTAGGTCAATTGGTTGACACCCAGCTCAGAGTCGCTACATAAGGTAGCTACTTTGGACAATCAGGCCTCCCAGGCTCTTTCAACCACCGAGAAAGTGCCACGTGTTCAGTTCATAGTAGCTGATCAGGTCAACGACTATGATACCGTGATAGTGTAGTATATTTTTTTCAAAACGCGACATTCATGTATATTATTCTCACAAATGTGACGGTACGGTCAATCTCTCCGTGGATGTTATATTGTTATTTTATTTTATTTTTATAACGAGGTATCCTCGTTGAATCCCTTAAGTTAACATAGTCTCGAAATATTGGCCAAGAATAAAAAATGATATTTAAAGTATCAGAATTAGATATATCTAGCACAATAAACAAAATGAGAAAGATATTTCAATAACATGGAAAGTGATTTACATAGTAACAATCCTTATTATTATATCTAACAGTTTATAAATGGTGAGGGGATTCGTAAGAACACTTACTTGGTGAGAAATAACGGCGTTATATTGGAAAAGAAAAAAAGAAAAAAAAAAGGTTTGGGATACAAATTGCAATCCGACACAGAGTTTGGGAAGTGTGACCACACTGCAATCAATGGATCCAACATTGGGCATTGCCGCTTCGTCTCTCAATGTCAAATCGGAGGATTTTAATAGTTTTGGCTTTAAAGTCGATGAAATTCAAACCCACGTGAATGAGGTGCTAACTTTTTTTTTTTTTTTTTGAATATTGCGATTTTCTCTTATGAATTTCTTGATATCAGATGTTTTTTTTTTTTTTTTTGTTGCTTTGTTTCTGGATGTAGACCTAATGTGTGTGTATGCATGTATGTTGTTTTTATTGTCATGTGTGAGACAAAGACGAATGTTCCCCCAGTAACCATGCAATATGGTCTAACTATATAGTCTGTCTTTATTGCCACGTGTGAGACCTGATGTTTTGGGGTTTAGGGACTTAGAAATTTGGTTTCATTAATAAAACATTGCTTTCACAGTTCTGTCTTAGCAGAATAATGATGGGTTGAGAGTAGGGGACTTTAAAGGTTTGAGAGTTGGTGCTAATTTGGTGGAGGTTTCTCATATGCAGTTTTAGTTTTAGATGCTTATATGGGAAATTTAAGGACTGTTCTTATGTTGTTGCATATCTTTTTAGTTGATTTTCAGGGCTGAATTTGTAGATGTAGTTTGTAAGATATTGATTTGGAGGATCAGGTCCTTGCCTCTTTGGATTCCCCTGACATGGTGTCAAGTATTTATTTGGGTATGAACCCTTATACAATCTCTTTTTGGAAACTGGTTAGGAAGAGGTTGGAGGATTGGAAAGGGGTTTTTCTTCTCTTTAGGAGGATGCTTTACCTTTATTCTGTCCTCTTTATCTAGTATACCCTAGGTTAGTTGTCTCTTTTTGAAGTCCCTGTTAAAGTTGCAAACAAAATAGATAAAAATGGGGAGATGTTCTTTTGTAGAGAGTGGGGGATACCAAGAGAGGTAATCTTGTTGACTGGAAGTTTTGTTGCAAGAATAAGGAGGGGGAGGGTGTTTGGATCTCCCGATAATTTCGTGTCAAAGAACATTGCCTAAGCTAGCAAATTGTTTTGTCATTTTCATAACTTTCTTTGGAATCATCTCTTTATTGTAAAGCTATTTCGATCGAACATAATATTAATCGGAGTTGGTGCTATCCAAATCCAAGGGCTGCTGTGAGTGCAGCTAACTCAAGTCATTGGAAATTTATCTCACAAGGGTATACTGCTTTTATTACTTTGGTTTCAGTATGATTTAGGATGGTTCTTGTATTGGCTTTGGGGGGATTTGAGGGTTGCGGGTTATTCTTTTTATGTCTTTTCATCGTCTTTATTGCTTATTTTCTTTGCATCATCACAACGCTTTAGCAGGCAAAATCAGACATTTTTTGGGAAAATTTTCATTTTTACTAACACCTTAATTATTGATAATCTGTGAAATGGGGATCACTTCTTGGTTTGCTTGGCTCTATTTATGCCTCTTCTTAGGAGTATTTGGTCATTAGACTCATCCAGAGTTTTACTCGTAGATCTTGTTTTCAATTCCTCACCCATTCTCCAGACGGGGACAGTTTATACTATTCCCCTTTGGAAGTCAAAGGCCTCTTCTAAGGTCAGTTCACTGGCCCACAGATCTCTCTCCTAATCTCTGTGTTCTGTGTTTTCTCTTAGACTGAAACTAACAGACTCATATTTATGCACCGTCAAGCTACTAGATATTAATGATGAATTCATGGTATTTTTGGTGAATGTTGGGTTTATCCACAGAGGCAACTAAGTAGGGAAGCCTTTTTGCAGCGTGCATAGTTCACAATAAATAAAAGCAGTTACCAACCAGACACCATAACAAACCAAAACAACTCTTCCACTAACTAGTGATATAGCCAAAGACCCATTCTTGAAACTACCAAACTGCCTGGGTTGGTTTAATGATTTCAGTTCTAGTTGGGCATACTTCTAGGTATACTCAGATGAAGGAGCAACCTTTTTTTAATTATCTTTTTCTTTATTTTGCTTTGTATTTGGCACAGTTTGTATTAATTAGTTCCCAACCCTTAACCATAATTTTGTAAAGTTGCTGCCTTCCTACATTTTTGCATCATAATTGCAAGTTGCCATTTGTAATTTTTAAATAGACCCTTCAGAGCAAGGTTGTTGAATCGCAACGCGTATCGTGTATCGTTCGGCTGTTTTTTTGTATCGTGAATCATGAATCACATAAGATTCAGAAACATATATTGAAAAATGAAGTGTCATTGTTCTCTGTTTTCTGAACGTTTGAAACTGAAAGTCTCTATTTTAGTTTGAACGTCTTTGAAAGTTTTTCTAAGAAAACTTTTCTTGCGTTTCCCAGATTTGTATTAATTTTTATTTTATTTTTGTTTTGGTTAAGAGATTTGTATTAATTTGAATCTCTTTTACCCTAATCAACATCTCTATTTCCCTAATCAATAGTGACTTTCCATATTCATTTTTGAATTTGAATTGCAAATTAGATCTCTGTTTCCCTAATTAATAACGACTTTCCAGATTCATTTTGGAATTTGAATCACAAATCAGATTGGATTGGATTGTTTTTACAATTTCCAAATCTGAAATCGCAAATCTTGGGTTGAATTTTGATCACAAATTGTGTTACGATTCATGATATGACACTGAAATGCATGATTATGTGATTCATGTTCCAATACATGTTGTCGATTTGTATCGTTTAGGCTGCATACCGTATCGTATCCCAATTTATAATTCGTATCGTATTGTGCGATACTAAAAACTATGGTTCGGAGTTTTAAGGATACAAATGAACTTCCTTTTCAGATCCATGCACCAGCATAAATTAACATCTTTTTCCATCCTATAAATATCTCATCTGCTTGCCTAGCAATTGCATTCCAATTACTGTTATGGGATTGCATTACACTAGAACACAGGTTATTGTTAGCTGGTGTTTAAGTGAAACAACACGTAGACTTTTCATCAATGTTTAACTGTCTAAGGTCTACGGAATCTTTAATATGTTGTCAAGCGCTAATTTGTTGCTATGCATTCATCAGCTTCTGGTATTTATAACTTTGAATTTGAAATGGAGTTAAAAAATAATTTAGTGTTGTGCTGCATGCAGCTTGAGAAGCAAGTAAATGAGGTTGAACAGTTCTACCATTCAACTAAAGTTCAAGTTAACAATTCCAAAGACAAAGGCCGTGAGAAGCATCTTACTGGCACTAAGAATCCACTACAAGGTACGTCACATAGGGAAGCTTCTGCTTCAGCAAAAATGCAAGAGCTCATGCGTCAGTTTTCCACAATATTGCAGCAGGTAAGTTCAAACACTTTGCAACATTTTTTATTATTTCAGATGTCTATTGTGGGATTAAGATGGAATCAGGGGACTACATGAGCATACAGCCACTTGAATCAATCTTCTTTCTGCTGGGTTTCCTCCTTTTATTTGAATTCTATTTTGTTAAATTCCTGAATTGAACTTAAACCAATGAACAGTCATAACTGAACATTTTCAAAATTTCAATATCTCAAAACTGAAACTTATTAGGAACACCTCATCCTACTTTTACCATCAACCAGCCTCAATGAACCTTTGATCAGCTTTCATATAGACAGCTTTGATTGTTTTCCCCTTCCTCTACTTAAAATCCACTTTGTATTTGTCAATTACTATTAATTGGGTGTGCTTGTTGTTCAAATGGGCCTTGTATTGAGATTTCATAGCTTCCATTTTTTTTTAAGTTCAGATCACACATGTGCTTGTTATCGTTCTTGCCGGTGTGGCTCTATGAGGCTCCACAACATATACAATTATACATAACTTGCCTGCACCTGAGTATCTGACCAGTTACTCATTTAATGGGTATTTAGCATCCATTTACCTACCCTGCAACCTGAATATCCAACTGATTTCTATTAATTTTTTCATTCACTTGGTTTAGTTTATCTTGATTTGGGCTTTTCACTCTTCCTTACTACGGATCTGAAGAAGCAGGGACCCATGGCACTGGCAGAATTAGGATTTTTTGTGATGGGGATAAATTATATAGATTTTAAAATTCATAATTAAAAGAAAAATTATATAATTGAATAAAATACTCACAATATATAAATCACATTACATAAATCACTATACAATATAACATAATATAAATGAAAATACTCACAATATAAAATAACATAATATAAAAAACTTAAAAAGAATTTTATTACAAAATCAAGATCATTTCACTTAAGTCTTGCCTTATTTTATTATATTTAAATCTACTTTTTATTTAATTTTCAAATCCGAAATCTATTCTTCATGCCTTGTTTATTTATTATATATTGATATGTAGATAGACATCAATCTATTTGAGATTGATTAGAAAACAAAACTAACTTTATTATGTTTAAATCTACTTTCTATCCAAGTTTATTTCTTTTATATCTTTCCAATATATTTGATGTTATATCTTTTAAACTAATTCAAACAATACATCTCAACAAAATTTGGGTAAAACATAGCAAACAACTGTTCTAACAACATGATGGGTACTGTCAAGCCTGCATGCTCAATCACTATATGGACAATACTAGTAGTCATTTTTTGAAAAGTGAAGGGGATGATCACCCCCAGCCCCTCCCTCGTTCCACCACTGGGTAGGGGGTGGGAGTTGGGGTTGGGGGTGAGATATTTCACAATATTTTTGGGTTTCCTATTTATAGTTTTGTACTTCTTACTTTGCTTCATGCCATTGATGTACAAAAATGTTCTTTAAGTTTGGCTCATCAAATTAATATTTTACATTCCTTCTCTATGTTTTTATGTAGTTTTTCCTTCACAATTAGTGTAACCTTTTTTTGGTTATCAATTCAAGTTTTACTTGTTATTTGATATATCTTTTCTTTGCTTCTATTTAGTGTTACTATATTTTATCTTATTACATGTGTTACTAATTGAGGACGAACCATAGCACCTTTGTGACCGTTGTGTTACTAATTAATTTTTTCAAAATTTTAAATTTTCTAGGTTTAGTACAAGATGATTATAATCGGACACTATTTAGTATAATTTGTACAGAAAAAAGACATTGCTAAAAGCTTTGGTTTGTTATGATCTAACCATTGACAATTTCGAGTTTTTAAAGATTCGAGACCAGCACTTTGAATGGTAGCAATAATTTTGTTTAGTTTTAGCTTTTACTTTTTCTATGAACAAGTTATTCTAAGGTTTGAATGTATCATAAGACATTTAGTAAAGTTAATATTTGTTGTTCTTTTTGTTAAGGGTTAACAAGCATGCATTACATGTTAGCAATTATCAATTGTTATTGAGGAATTGTTGCCCAATGCATCCAAAGGCTTCTGCAGTTAAGCTGCTGACCACCTGTTGTCTATTGCTTCTGCGTTTTACCACCCTCCAGCTATATTTACTCGTGTGTACATAAATAAATATTAAAAAAAAAATTGTTTGAAGATGTATTGATTTTCTGGAAAAGAATATTTCCTACAATGTTACTTTCGTCGAGAATAATAAAGGCAGTGATCACTTATCTTTTTTGTTTGTTTAACTGTATGACCTCTCTTTTTCTGTGTCTTGCAAATTAAACGCACCATGTTTCCTGCTGAAGATCAAGACTGATAAGTTTGTTTTTTCTCAGCTCACTCAGCATAAATGGGCGTGGCCCTTCATGGAACCTGTAGATGTTGAAGGTCTTGGGCTGTATGACTATTATAAGGTTTTTTTTTTTTTTTTTTTTTTTTCCATTTTAAAGCTTTTCTCTTGATTTAGACTATCATTTTCTTATTTAAATGACATTTGAAATCTTTTTTTAACCTAAAACCATGTACACTTGTACACTTTCGGAAAAACAATAAAATTGTTTAGGTAATTGCATGGTCAGTGTTTCTGCTACTGGTGGTCGATTTTAGCTTGTTAACTATCTATCTTTTTTATCAGAGTTCTTTATTACTGTTTTCTTCTAAAAATAATTTGTTTATTTTTCTTTCCATAGGTTATTGATAAGCCCATGGATTTCAGCACGATAAAAAGTAAAATGAATGCTATGGATGACTCTGGTTATAAGAACGTGCGGGAGATATATTCTGATGTCAGGTTGATTTTTAAGAATGCAATGAAATACAACGATGAAAAAAATGATATCCATGTTATGGCGAAGACTTTGCTGGAAAAATTTGAGAAGAAATGGATTCTCTTTTTGCCTAAAGTTACTGATGCGGTAATTTGTTTTTGCAAAATATTCTCCTTTCTTTTGGATGAAAGAAACTTTATTATATATAATTTGGGAGGTTGCACTTGTATAGATACTTATATTTTACCATATATCCATTAACTTTCTATATTTAATTATTTCAGGAAACTATAAAATCAAGGGAAGAAGCACGTGCGCAGTTGGATACACAACTCGCTCAAGAAGCCACTTATGCCAATATGGCTAGGGAATTAAGCAAAGCGGTTGGTTAATTATTTTCTTGCTAGAGTTGTGCTTAAAATCATTTGTTTATGTTACTTTGGAATATATCATATGGTTTATGCATTCAACTACCTGTTTCAGCTGTGTGGAATTGATACGGATTTGAACAATCTCAAAGCAATGGTAATTGAAAAGTACAGGTTCGTGAAAGAATCATCCCGTTTTATTACCTGATAATTAAGGTCAAATTGTAATCAATGTTACATGGCATCTATTTGTTTCCTGTCCTGTATTTTACATTTCGGTTCAAAACTTATTATAATCTTGAGACAATGAGTGAGATTAAATTCACAAGGTGCTTGAATTTATAAAGATTTTCAGGCACCTCCAAGAAAGATTAGATGAACAGTATCCTCTGCAGTGTGAACAGTATCCATCTATAGTTGCCCACATAAGTAGCAATGCAACATTTAATTGTAATTGAACCCTTTTATGCTGCTTGAATTGGTTGGAGTTTTTTTAAGTCACAACTCATAAGGACAATTTCAGATGGCAATATTGTTGCAGGAGAAAAACATACCCTCCTGCACACCCATCAAAAGTCCCGCCCCCTTCTTCTTCTTTCTTAAAAACTTGGTGGTTCCCACCTTATGTTTGTCTCTACAGGAAGGTTAATAGTTTCTCCTATAACAGGAGAAATTATTCACCCATGTATTATTTGGGATAAGTGTATATCATTTTGAAGAACATAAAGTTATATCATTTTAAGTGAGAGAAAGAGATAAATCATGGGAGAGAGAATAGGTGAAAAAAGTTTTAAATGTGTAAATCTCACCTCTTTGTGAGAGTAAAAGAATATAAGGTGTGTCATTTAAAATGACACACCTTTTTCCCATATTATTTAGTCCCACAATATGTGATCCAGAAATACTTTCATAGTTGGGTCCTCTTAAGTACCCGACTTCTTGCTATAGTTTTCTTTTTCTTGGCCATGCTATGGCATTGTGTTGATTACTCATATTTTGCATTGTTCTGTTGTTGACAATACTGTAGGAAACTGTCAACTCAGGAGAAAATAATGCTTGCGACAGATATCGCCAGATTGTCTCCTGAAAACATCAACAGGGCATTACAGATAGTTGCTGAGGACAACCCAACCTTCCAACCTAATGCTGAAGAGGTGGACCTTGACATTGATGCTCAGGTTTGTCATGTTATCTATAGCTCCTAATATTTTCTGTCATTCATATTCTAGTTATCTTAAGTTGCTATATTTTGTTTAGCAAGTACCTTCTAGCTACTCACCAATTTTACTATTACATACAGAGCGACTACACAATCTGGAGATTAAAAAATCTTGTAAAAAATGCACCGGAAGTTCAGGGAAGAACTGCCGAGGGCACAACTTTTAACCATAATGGTAACACTGAGGCCAAGAAAAACGACAACAAAAGGAGGAGAGTTATGTGATTCTTTGCTAAAGACATTATAAAGAGAACTAAAAAGCTATCTACTTTGTGATTTACTTGTGCAGCACATAAGGCATTATTTTAGTTTTGATTGAGCGGCATGCTTACGAACTTCTAGTGTTAAGACATGCTGTAGGTAGGGCCATTCTGTAAAGCTTTCTATATTAAGCTCTAATAGATTGAATGCAACTACAAGCTCTTTTTATTTTGAAATTTTTTTTGACTTACTAGACAATCTTAAATACTTGAATGAAACCTTAAGGCGCATTTGGTATATGTGATAGTATAAGTCCTAATATATAAGGTTTGATAACTTTTAATATTATGCAGTGTTTGGTGTGATATTTATTATATAAAAACACCGAATTATGTATCATATAATAATACTGTCTTATATTCGGTGATGTACTGTATAGTATTGGCTAAAATGAAAATTAACACTTATCACAAAAATATCCTTTAGTTTATAGATACTTCCAACTTATTCTGTTTGTTCATTGCAGCTTAATGAAGATGCAAACCAAGCCATTTAAGACATATAAATTGCTTCTCGTAGCTTAACCAAATCCATTCATTCTTTTTTGTTAAATTGGCAGTTCTTTTTGGTCTTTTGTTTGCTTATAGCTATAAAGGAACTGCCTTGGGCACCTGAACTTCAATTCTGTATATATGATGGTACATGGATCTTAATTTTCTCTCACCAAAGAAAGTACAATCCTCCCAATAACTTCATAATTCAACCAATCAGCAACTGGGTAAGCCAATAATTATATGAGAATGGAACCCAAAATCCCAAATTGCACCATAATCGAAAATGGAATCAGCAAAACCGTCACAGGAAATTGAGGTTCTACTCACATAACCGTCATGAATAGCGATTCAAAGCAACCTAAGTTTAGCATCACACACATCAAAACCATAACCGAAGTGTCATTCTCTTTTTTTCTTTTTCTTTTTTCTTTTTAACATTTTTATAATACTTTCTTATTAATTTTTCTAAAATATAAGGGGAAGGATATTGTAACAACCAAGTTGTGTTACTACCAAGTTACTACCAATCAATCTCACCGTTAGATCGGTTATGTTTATCCAACGGTTATATTTATTTTCATCTTTGTATGGTCATGATTTCTCAAATTTAATACTTTATATTTATTTTCACCTTTGTATGGTTATGATTTCCCATATTTAATGCTTTCACTTTAAATATGGGGAATCGTAACCATACAAAGATAAAAATTCACTTTAAATATAGGGAATCATAACCATACAAAGATAAAAATAAATATAACTGTTGGATTAACATAATCGATCTAACGATGAAATTGATTGGTAATAACATAGTAGTAACACAATTTGGTTGTTACAATATCTTTGTCCAGAATATAATTGCTCATCAAATATAATATTCGAATGTCTTATTTATTAATTTATTATTTTTTATCAAATTTTCATATTTTTGCACTGGGGATGTTTTCAAATATCACATATATTAAATTAGTACACTTTTTATGATTGACTAATCTCTTACCTTACTCTCTTTCAAAAATTTGATATATGTCATTCTTAACTTTTCTTTTACAAAAAATTAAAAAATGTTTTAAATTAATTATGTATGTTTTCTTTATGATTTTAAAAAATTTATTTAAATTTAAAAATACCCCTACAATGTAGGGAGTAATTACTAGAAAGTCACTGTCAAGTGTGAAATTACAAAATTAGGAAAAGTTCAAAAAAAAAAAGAAAATTTCTCTGATTCACACTTTTATTACTTATTCCTGCATTTTTTTATTACTTATTTTTCTTATATTTTTTTTCAGTTAAGTTCGCCTTTAACACTATTTAAAATTGGGTTAATATGTTCATTTTGACCTGTGAACAGTTTAAAAATCACTATGGATGTAAGTGATTTTAAAAAAAAAAAATAGAATATATGATAAAAAAAAAAAAAAAAACTACCGGGGAGAAAGTTAAATGATAATATAGGGAATAAATGATAAAAAAAATAAGCCACATGGAGTTTTTGAATTTTTTCTAATTTAAAATAGGGGAACAAATAGCCTTGTTCAATAAGGAAAAACTTGCGCAATACTATTTTATTCTTAAGCTGAAAGTAACCAAGCAAGAAGTTGCAAGATTACAATTACGCAAAACCCATGGAAGGCATGTTTTCATTATTGGATGAAGCCATGGGATACAGATAATTGACAAAGTAACAATAATATTTTCATCTCCTCTACTTAGAAGTCTCCTTCTGTTCTCCTGATATCATTTACTCCAACCCCCCACGAGTTTCCAATTACTGTCATAAATGAATACATACAATGTAAATCTGGGATAAGATTGCTCTTTGACATTCAAATAATGTTCATGCTTCAGATAAGGTTCTCAAGAGGGATCACATTTATGCTTTAAAGTTTAGACTTTAGAGCATATTACCTCGAAATCCCTTGTAAATTGTATCTTGAGTAGTCACTCTAAGTTCCACTCTTTTATCATTATTTTCCCCCCTCTTTTTTGCTTCTTAGTCAATTTTTTAGTGGTTGATTCTTGTAAGACCTAGATGAACTTTTCTTATTCATTCTCGTTGGGTTCAATTCAAAATTTGAGGATTGAGGTTCTGGGATTATTATATCACTGCTATTGCGCATTCTCAATCCTGGATTAGAAGATTTGCTTTTCATCCTTGTTAAAATTTACTTATCTAAAAGAGAAAAGAGAGTCTGAATGAAAATATGTATGGTTTCAATCTGTTTCCACTTCTTCATCTGTTTGAGGCTAATTGAAATGACTCTGATGATAGTTACAGAAGGCAGAAGCTACTCAAATGTGGAGTTTACTGCATAGGTCAAGGCAAACTTTAACCCCTATTCCACATGAAACACACACTAAATGCTAGTGACTTGGTGTATGCTCTATATAGGCAAGGAAAATTTTAACACATTTGCTTCTTTTCAATCTACATCGGATCCTATAATACCTGATTTGTTGTGCCACCAGGATCTGTTTGTTCTAGATCTTTAAGTCAATTATCATTCTGGGAATATGATCTTGAAGGCATAACACTTGCAATAAAAGACTTGATAAAATTTATGTTCATTATATCCTTAATACTACTTGGTCAGCAAACATAACTAAAATAAGACTGTAGACAGAGAAAATCAAAATTGATTTGTTGGACATTTAAATTGGAGCAAACAAGAATAAAAAAGTGATGAATAATACAATGCACCAAAAGACAATTTAAGGTCAGAGAGTAGGCACTGTAATCATTACTTCATTTCATTCACTACCTTGAACCAATATTCATTCCTAGTCACCCTGTAAGAGTCAATTTAGCTCGATACAACTTCAACAGCTCATCAGCTTCCTTCTCATGACAAGAGATAAACTTGTCTAAGAAGACCTTTTCATTACACTTAAATATTGCACCCAGGCTCAGCTTGCTCACCAGACCCTTTGACAACAAAACTAGAACAACAGAACCTCTTGGAATAATTCGGTTTCCCAAGCTCATAGACATTACCGCTGGACACCTAGCAATATCAGCAGACTTGTAGCCCAATCTGTTCACCAGAAAATCCATGACAGCATCAATCTTTTTGTCTGAAACCGAAATAAAAAATGGAAAGACTCTAAATGTTGCACTAATATCATCATCAGTCCAACCCCACTTTCTATAAACACCTTCCTTCCTTGCCCATGTGGATTTGCTTATGCATAGCTTTATATGAACAACTACAACAAATTGCAACTTCAAAGGATCAAACCCCAATTCCTTCACTTCCTGAACTAACTCCTTGAACCGCTTATGAGGAAACTTCAATGTGCGAGGGAAGTATTCTATAAACCTTATAATATGTGATTCAGGAACTCCTCCTTCCCTCAGCACTTTGATATTTAGTTCTGAACAGTTCTCAAGGTCAACAAGAATACCGGAATAACGTTTTATAGTTTTCATGAACTTGTGCTTACAATGAAACAAGTTGTTGAAGAAATCAAAACAGGGAATAATTTCTCTGTGCAAGCTTCTATTGAGGATGGAAGGGCAAGCCCTTATGATGCTGTATATGTCAGAGTTAGAAAAACCTTTGGACTTCAAAAAATCAATCTTTGGAAGCAAAGTTTTAATGGGATCAGATCGAAGGATCCCTGGGAAAGATTGGATGATAATTAAGGCCATGGTTTGTGAGAAACCCTGGTTCTTGAAGAACTCAAACACAAGGTCTGGTTTTTCACGGGTTTCGAATTTCATGCGTTTGGAAAACGAAGCAGCACGCTGCGGTGATAACCCACAAGTGTCAATGAGGTATGATGCTGTAAAAGAGTTTCCTTTTGAAGGGGTGGAGATGAATTTCAATGAAATCCATTGCTGGTAGTTTTGGTTTTGCAACAGAACCAGTTTTCTTGTGGTTGGAAAAACGCTCCTGCTAAGAAAATGAAACATGGGAAGAGAAGCGAGGGGAATGAGAATGGATTAGAACTCACCAATTTCGTTGGAAATGCATTCTGGACCAAACCCTAAACCCCTTTTCCCTTTCTTCTAAAACACATTAGTATTACAAACCCTAAACCCTAAACTACACACTTTTGCATCATCCACCTCTTTGGCAAATTAAATCGTGAATCGGGAAGTTAATTTTGAATCGTAAATCGTATTGAACTTCTCAGATTCAGAGATATATTGAAAAATGACTTGAAATATATGTATAATGTATGATGCAATAGTTTTAAAATAAAAATTAGAAATTAATAAAATAACCCAATCATAAGTATAAAAAAACAAAATCACAAGTCATAAATCAAGATTGAATTATATAGAGTGATTTCATGAAGCTTATGTTTCAAAAGAACGAAAATAGAACAATGATTTAGCTAAATAGGGTGCATGATTGAGAGTGACAATGTGAAGTCTTTATTTTAGAAGAACAAAAAAGAACAAGGAAAAAGGCTGCATAGAGTGAGTATATGAAGTCACTTTCAAAAAAAAAAAAATGGAATGTTCAAATAAGGTGCATTTGGTACGGAAGAAATTTTTCAGTGAGACAAAATATTCCCAAAATTGTTAACTCAAGTTTTCTGATTCTTTATTTGATTAATTGTTAACAATTATTGAAAATGTGAGCTAATTTTACAAATGATTTTTTTTTTTAAAAAAAATCTGATATGCCATTAAAGAAGAATTATTTATGTCCTTTAAATTATATAAATTTTTTCCATCAAGTAAGAATTCAAAAATACTACTCAGTGAGTCAGTACTCACCATGATATTATTTTATGAAATTCTTATTCACAATTTTAATTCTCAAGAATCTCATTTTCGTAGAAAAAATTTAAAACTCCTTGTATCAATAGTAGATAACTAGAATTCTCAATGTGAATTTTCTAAAAATCTAAAATTTATCTTTCTAACAAACGACCCCTTAGTTCCTTTTAATTTAACAACTAACACTTATTTGACTTTATAATTTCTTATATGAGAATTGATGGGGAAGGAAAAAGTGCATCATTGAATTGTGATATGGAATTCCATGATTCAAAGTCATCTCCGATTCATCACATGATATAGATCATTAATCGTACTATTAGAGTCGTGCGTGAATCGTCCAATTCCTATAATTATGTATAGGAGTAGTTATTTAACTTATATCAACAAATTTTGACTAGTACATCCCAAAATAAAAATAATCCGTGCAATGATAATTTTCCTTTAATAAAATGTTAATCGAGATTCATGCCCATAAGCCTTTAGTTACTTATTACACAGGTAAATGATATCTTAACTATTAGTTAACAAGGTGTATAGATTGATTAACAAGCTAAAAAGCTGATATCGTATTATCAAAAGCTGGAACCCGTCAACCATCCTATACACATTATTAAAGAATAATTGAGACATCATTAACTTAAGTCAAAATAGTGTAAAAATATGGTTCACAAACAACAAAAACTATATTATAACATTCATGGAACTAAAAATATCATAAACAATTCGACCTAATACACCCCGTTTGACATGTTTTATGCTATCAAAACCCAGGTTTTTTAACTCCTTGTAGGCAATGAGAAGTTTATTTTTAACCCAACTAAAAAAACTCTGGAGAGGGGGATCGAACTATAGCCACTACCTTTGGTGGGGCGTTTCTTACCACCGCAATACTATTCCAAACAACACAGTTGTTTAATGGTAATACTAACCTAACAATGAAATGATTTCTTACGTTCATATTTTATCATTTCAATATATGACAATTTCAATGACATCATCCTACCTGCATCTTCATGGAACACGGACCAAAATGCCACTGTTCACCAACTTTTTTACCTAAATGCCACGCGAACAGTGTTATTTCCCAATATGCCACGGGGGCAAGTTCGCTACCCTGTGTAGCGAACTCGGTTTGCTAACGTGTCACATTTTTAATGGATAACAAGTATCAAATTTTAAAAAAATAATAATAAAAAAAATGAAGGTCCCCTACCATGTAGGCGAACTTGGTTAAAATCAAGTTGGTGTCCACTAGAAACGTGACACGTCAGCAAACCGAGTTCGCTACACCGAATAGCGAACTTGCCCCCGTGACAGATTGGATATAACACTGTTCGAGTGACATTTAGGTAAAAAAGTTGGTGAACAATGGCATTTTGGTCACTGTTCCCATCTTCACCATCCTGAGTTTGGAAATTGCAGTAGTTTGCACGATATTCTCCACCATCACACCCTGAAAGAATCTAAGTAAAAAAATTAAAAACAAGTTCATTATCCTATGTTGTAGAGCATCTGAAAGGGTCAATTGAATCAAAAACTCCAACACAACATTGCGTCGGTGTGATTCCATATAACTAACAAATTTGAGCGAGGACAGAAACCATGGCAAAAAAATCTTTGGCCCCAATCCTCACTTCCAAAAATCTGCTAGTAGTACAAACAAAATCAGAATTTAAACTTTTGTTTAGGCTTTTTCACCACGGCACATCCAGGGTCCTCAACATTCTGCAGCAAAACAAACCTAGTTACATGCATTGTAAAAGTCTATAGGAAAATAACCAATCACATTAACAAGTAATGACCTTTCGCTTTTTGTTTTTCTTTTTTTCTTTCTTCTTCTTCCTCTTCTTCTTGCATTCCTTTACTGCAGACAGTTCATTCAGTTCTTCTCCATTAGAATCCTGTCAAGATTAGAAACAAATCTGAGAAAGTGAAAAAGGCAGATATCAACAGCTATTCAGACACCATTAACAGTAACGAAGCAAGAACCTTAGAATCAGAGTCACCAAAGGAGTCCACGTGCCGAACATTTCTTTCTGGATTAGAAGTACCACCTGAAGTTGACGAGAATCATAAAAGATTATTACACTTACTGACTATCATACAAATATGATTAAAGCCATCGATAAAGAAACTAAAATCCAATAACAAACAGAAAAGCTTATGCCTAACATTGTTAAAAGCAAACAGACATAAGAGAGGATGTGGGAAAGTTGTGGCTCAAATCTGGTAGACTTAGGTGTGTGTGTGCGCGCGCACCCAGTTTTCTACAAATATCAACCCCCCCACCCACAACAGAAAAAAGGAAAAAAAAAAAAGGAACATTGTTTACGCTCAGCACAGGAAATTTTAGTCACAAATATGCGCAGACCCAAAACCAAGTAAAACACAAACAGATCAAGAACAACCTCCTTAGTCCTTAGCAAACAACTTGCCCTGCCCCTTGTGAAGCCTCTCTACATGACAACTGTCCCTTGCAAGGCACTCTACCCTAAGAATGGGTTTCCAGTAATCAAACCAGATCATAACTTTTCTACATGATCACACTTAGATCAAACCTCAAAAGTCCCTACAACACTCTTAGCTGCAGCAGCAAAGCATCAAAGAGCAGGAAGAAGGAAAATAATTTTATTTTTATTTTTTTTAAAAAGAGAGAAACTAGGTACCAGTAGGACCGAACAGGATTAACCTAAAGCGTTTACACTATGTTAAAAGAGGAAAGGGAGAGAAAAGAGAAAATAGGATGTGTAAGCTGAACTCTAATCCGGTCATGCATATGTGTGTCAATATATATACAAACACATGTACAACAGTAACACAAGTCACAAGACATTAAAGATTTGATTAAGCTGCCCTCATACTAATGCTACTAACAACCAATGACAGCAAGATGAATCATGAATCAAGAAAATCACATTAACAACTGTTTATGGCACTCTTACATAACTCTATAATAATAAATATAAAGTTACCACATCTTTACCTTACCAGTAAAACATTTACAAATCACCAATTCACTATTACCAAACTTTATATGGCTCCACCATTCATAATAATATCTGCCTCTGTAAAAACCCGTGTTATACTAAAGTAATTTCAGCTCTATTGGATATTTGTGGTTAAATAGCGGTTATTAAACATGGCTAAGGGATAATCTACGTAGCATCGATACCGACACAGAACACAAGACACAACACGATACGACACTCTGACACGTTAATTCTAAAAAATATTAGATTTCGACACGTTAGGATACGTTTTGATATTAAATAATATTTTTAATTTATGTTGCGTATATTATATTTAATATTCAATAATTTAACAAAAAAATAAAGCTAAATTTATAATACCCATTATTTTTGAAAAGAAACATAATATATTACAAATATTTATATTAAATTCAATAAAATGGTAATAATAATCCAACAAATCTAATAGTTAGAACTAAAAACCTAACACAACGCAATCTTTGAACCTTTTTTTGAGTTTCTACAACGCACGTGAGAGTGTCGGGAAGTGTCGGAGAGTGTCATTTTTGAAGTGTCGGTGCTTTATAGGGAATAATAACATACTATTCCCATAATAATCATAGAAAAACACACACTTGAACTTGATGCAAATAATTGTAGTAATGAAACTTAAATTGCTCATATAATCAATTAATAATCAAATGAAATGAATAATAAATAAATAAAGGGTGTCCCAAATGAAGAGAGAGAGAGAGAGAGAGAGAGAGAGAGATAGTTGCATGTGTTACTTGCATATACAGTTTGTTTGGCATTATTGACAGCGAGTTCAAGGAGATCAGGGTTAATAGATGCCAATCCATTAGGGTCCTTCAGCTTCCTCTCTAGAAATTTGGCCAAAGCCGCTGCTTTATTCGTGGCCAAGGGTCCACCGGGATGAGCCAACCTTGCATGAGAATTCACGAATTAAAAATTCACACTATACCCACTAAAATTGAAGGGGTGACGAAGGAAACCGCGAATTCAAAATAAAAAATTTAAGGATAAGATTAGTCATGAAGTGTTAAAATTGAAGAATTAAAAAAAACCCTAAACCTGGGTTGGGCGTTGGAAGGGCGGGGAAGAGGGGCGAATTTGCTTCCACGAAGTGCACGTCTTTCATCTTCTGTCAGAGTTTCGATATCTTTCACCATTTCGATTTTTTGGTGAATGTCTCTGTGTCTTCCCTTTAAATGGTAATTACTCTTTCTACTTTTAAATTCAATTTAATTTATAGTACCTCAAAAAATTGTTTAATTTGATGTGGTTGGTTGCTTCGGCTGAAAAAACAAATTTAAAAAATTATCCAATAATTAATACAGATTTAAAATTATTTTAGAAAAAGTTCCAAATCCCAATAATTTTACTTTACATCACTTATTTACTTATTTTGTTTTAATCGCTTATCCCTTATTTTATTTTTTATCCAAAATCATTTTTAAAGTTGTTAGAAATTAAAAAAATAAATATATTTAAATACAAAATGAAGAAAATAAAGACATGATAAAACAAAATAAGACAAAAAGGTAAAAATAAAAAATATATAAATAGTATAAAAAAAGAAAAAGAAAATAGACCGAAGATAAAAAATATTGAAGAAAAAATAAGATTAAATATATCTAAATAAAAAAAGGAATATAGATTGAAGAAAAAAAAAGAAAGAAAGAAAAAAGATCAAATGTGTTGGAAATTTAAAAAAGTAATTTCTATTATTGTAAGTTTATTTTCTTCTTTTTGATTTAGACATATTTGATCTTTTTTCTTCTTTTATTATTTTTTCTTTTAGTTTTTTATGCAAATGTTGTAAATTTTTAACATAATTTGTCTTTTTTTTTCCTTCTATTTTTTCTTTTTTTGTCATTGGTCTATTTTCTTCTTCTAAGAAGCGTAAAATAGACAGATCAGTTAAGTTTCTAACAATGTTAATAATTTGTTTGTGTGGAAAAAATTACAGAGGGTAAGTGATTAAAAAGTTGGATAAGTGATTGAACATAAAATCATACGAGAATTTTTGATACATGAAAATGAATAAAAGATAAAGCAAAGAAATAAAGACATAAAATAAAAGATTAGCCCTTTCCTTTCTGAGGATGAGGAATGACCGTCACGTCTGTTTGGAGAAGAAGTTTCAACAAACCAGGAGGTTCGTCAAAGATAACAACATCTTGTAATCCAGAATTATTGAGGGGAAGATTAGCTAAAAAATTAGCACAACGGTTGGCTTCTTTAAATGCATGTATAACCGAAACCTGCCAGTCACGATCAAGAAGTGCTTGTATTTGAGTCACCAAGCGAGACTCACGAGCTGCACCACCACATTTGGTGAGCAAAGCGACCACCGAAGTGGAATCACTCTCAAGAATTAGACGACGCCAACCTCTCTACCAAGCAATATTAAGACCATTCCAAACCCCCCACAATTCTGATGTAAGCGCATTTGCAGATTCCAATGCGAGACAAAAACCCCACGAGCCAAGATCCATAAGGGTTGTGAAACAAACCCCCCACAAGCAGCTACACTTGGAGATCCTCTTGCAACACCGTCCATATTAAGCTTAATGAACCCAAACGTTGGAAATTTCCAACTGACTAAAATATCAACTGGATAAGGAATATCATATGTAAAAATACCCATCATGTCCACAAATTGATGTGGAATAAAGGCAATAGAAAGTGGTAATGGAGTAGCCATCATATGAGAATGAGCAACTTGATTTCGCCAATACCAAATCTGATATAGGAATTAACGAAAAAGGAAGACCAATTACGATATCAAGCTTCTCAAGGAACCAAAATTCACGCAACCAGTAGAATAAATTGCCCTGAAAAAATTCATCATGAAGAGCTGAAGGAATAAAGGCACACCATAATTCACGAATCACCGAACAATCGCGCAAAGCATGAAGAATTGTCTCATCTTCTTGCTTGCAAACAGGACAAGTACTATCTCCATAAGACCAAGAAGCAACCCAATTTGTAGTAGGTAGTTTACCGTGAGTAATCTTTCATAAAAGAAGCTTTAAACGATGAGGACCATTCCACTTTCATATCTTGGACCAACACCTCTCCTCCCAATAATCTGCTCCAACTCTTGAGTACCACTAATCAGATTATATAGCACCCTAACTGAGACCAGATCACCATTTCCCAGAGTCCACTTTATCTGTAAATGTTTTTTAAAATCATTTTTTCTCAATTTGCATTTAATTTAGATCCTCATATATAATATATTTGATGTAATATAATATTGTAATATTATGCAGTTTTATAGAGATCTCTGTGCTTCATTATTATTATTATTATTATTTTAAGTCAGTTACTTATTTGTAAGGACTTCTCTATTAATCATGTAGGGGCTTCTTATGTAAAATATGAATTTTATCAATTTAATCATTGAATATTTTATTATTTGATTGTTTGTGTCAAATTTTTAAAAACTGAACCTCACTAAAATTATAATTAGATGATTTTATTTTCCTATTTTTTAATGGCATGTCACGTTAAATATTAATAAAATATTGAATAATTTAATATTAATATGATAATTTTATATGATAAAAAATTTCAATTCTCTAAAATAAAATTATTTGATAAGATATTATTAAATAGTGTAAGAATAATTTTAATTTACTATAACATAAGTTAATTCCTTCTCAAATTTCTATGGTTTGTTCAAAATTTATACCTTTCTAAAATTTATTTTCAGTCTATCGATTTCTCAAGTAAACTTTTCTTAAAAGAGTGCAATAGAAATAGTTTCGAAAATGATTCCCCCAAAATGGAGAATTGAAAAATGGGAAGAAAAGTAACATCGATTTTCCCTTGTAAGCTGAATCGTATCAAGACGCCGTGTACCTTTTATGTTATTTCGAAGTTTGTGATGAAGATGAGATATTAAATTTTTTAAGAAAATTATGTTTATATGTTTCTATTTTTTCTTTTTTCACTGCAGGTAGTCTTTAATAAAATAAAAACTAAAAAATATAGGTTTAGTATCTTCTTTTTTTCTGTTTTTTTTTTTTTACAAAATTTATTCAAACAACACACAAGTATAAGAAAAGGGATTACATATATAAAAATGTGTAAGTTCATATTTTGGAAAGTTTGCTAATTAATACGTCGCTCTCTACCTAAATATCCACTTTTGTTAACACTTGAAACCACTCTCAATGTTTCATCTTTTAGTAACTTTTCAAATTTGAATTTTTTACTTGATATGTAGGAAAAGAGTTCAACGTTCTTTTGTGGGCAAACAATTGTACTCTTCCATTCTCTCATATTGCTGCAACACTACCACTATGTTCTGCATTGGAAATTGTTAAGCTTATTCATAATATTTATTATTATGTCAAAGCTCCAATCAATAGAAGTAACAAACTAATACATATTTCGTAAGAACAACGAGCGGGAATTGATGTCAACATCCTGGATAAGCTTTTGCTTTGTTTTGAGATTTCTTTTTTGGTTTGTTTTGAACAGTGTTAATGCCAGCATCCTGGATAAGCTTTTGGAGTATATCTTTCTCTTCTGTATGCTTTTCAATTAAGATTACTTTTAGGTGACCTACTAAGAGCCTGTTTAACCTCTCTCTTTTTCAATTAATAAAGACCTTTCTTATATATTACGTTGCATGAATTGATAGTGACATGATTTGTTTAGGGTGTAATTTCATTTTCTGTTGTAAAAAGATTTTCGTAAAACACATGCAAGGAATTTTTTTTTCAAATAGTGTGTCTTTTGGAATTCTTATTCTAATTTCAAAGTGCGTGGAAAATTTCAAGAGGCACAAGTAAGCAATGTGAATGATTCGTCCAACGTTTTTGTTATTGTCCCAAAATTCATGTTAATCTAATTTTTTTTTACATGGGGTGTCTTTTGGAATTCCCATAAGATAATAATTTATTGTGTGAGAGGGGAGTAAAAATAGATGAATAATTGCTAGCTGCATATGTGATTAACAAAGTCCAAATAGATGAATAATTGCTAGCTGCATATGTGATTTGGACTTTGTTAGGAATGTGGCTTTCATACTCAGGAGGGAGAGTGAATTGAGTATTACAATATTTTCGCAGAAATTCCCTTCTAGTTTCTAAGTTATCATTTCAAGCAAACTTTAATATATGAAAAGCTAATCAATACATTCAAACAATCCTAACATATAATATATTACAATTATAAAGCCTATGCTAGCACATACAAAATATCAAAGAAGCAATTAAAGTGCTACAATTAAAGAGTGAGGGTTTAGAAAAATGCAAACTCAATATATCCTGGTTCGGTCACTGCCACTTGTGACCAATGTCCAGACTGAAGTCGATCGATCAATTCTTTCACTATAATGTATTTAACCTTGTGCCATTGCATAAACCTCTGGACTGATCAATATTTCTCAATAGCATTACTGGAACTTTAACCTTCAAGGTTAATTTATGATCAGGAATCCCCGAACACGATAATGTATTTAAGATCTCAGGTGTGAATTCATCATCTTCAACGGAGGAAGCCACATCTTGCTTCAAAATTTTATCAGAACTCAAAAATATCCTTTCTTCACCAAGAATCATCGCCATCAGGTGCTCGTTCAGCATAGCAACATCAGACAATTTAGGAGTTAAGATAGCACGTTCTTTGAAAAATGTTGGATCTAAAATATTATCCAAGAGATTCGGATAAACAAAATTAACCATATCTGAAACGGGATCATCTGATTCTGTAATCAATAATTCATCTGGAATTGTTATCATAGATTCTTCATCTTCATCATCCCCAAGATCATCATCCCCAACTTTAAGTAGCCACTCCGAAAATTCTTTTATTTCATTCACATCATGAGTGGTACTTCCAGAATTAAGACGAATGTCCTTGGTCAAAGTTAATAAATGACAATAGGACCATAGATGAGAAGAATTTATGATTGCATTTACTATCTCCTGTCTGCTGCCATGAGGAATGACAGGTAATATTTGTCGAAAGTCACCTCCTAGAACAACAATTTTTCCACCAAATGGCATATCAACGAAACTTGTGTCAGAAAATCTAAGAACATCTCTAAGTGTTCTATCCAGAGCCTCAAAACAAAATGTATGCACAATTGGTGCTTCGTCCCAAATGGGAATACGAAATCTATAGTAGAATTTGACAGCAACTCTGCTATAGTAGAATTTGGCTTTATATTACACGTTAAATCTTCATTGATCTGAATAGGAATACGAAATCTAGAATGTGTTGTTCGTCATCCAGGAAGCAGAAGGGAAGCAATTCCGCTAGAAGCAACATTAAGTACTATTTCAGCTTTTGATCTAACAGATGCTGAAAGAGTATTCCAAATAAATGTTTTTCCTGTACCACCAAATCCATATAGAAAGAATAACCCTCCTTTGCCTGCTGTAACTGTCGAAATGATTCTGTCATAAACAACTCTCTGCTCATCAGTGAGGGGATTCAATAGTCTCTGATGCTCTTCTCCCAATGAAAATGTGTCATACATTAATTCATCAACAACTAATCGATTATGCATATCAAGCAACGATTCCCTGGTGATGCGAGGCATTGTCGGGTAATCATAGAGGCATTTACCATTGCTCTGCAGCACCTTATCGATTTCAGCAAGTGTTATGTTTTTTATACTTTCTTCTGTAAGAAGCGCATCTAAAAAAACCATAAAATATTTTCGCAGAAATTCCCTTCTAGTTTCTAAGTTATCATTTCAAGCAAACTTTAATATATGAAAAGCTAATCAATACATTCAAACAATCCTAACATATAATATATTACAATTATAAAGCCTATGCTAGCACATACAAAATATCAAAGAAGCAATTAAAGTGCTACAATTAAAGAGTGAGGGTTTAGAAAAATGCAAACTCAATATATCCTGGTTCTGTCACTGCCACTTGTGACCAATGTCCAGACTGAAGTCGATCGATCAATTCTTTCACTATTCGTCAAGCTTCATAGAAGCTTGACAAACCACTACAACCTTCCAAGACTTCAGGCTTTTGGATGCCTTTCATTCCAAAAAAAATTAGGTATTTGGGTACCTCTCAAATGCAATGGATCTCACAACCCTCTCAACTCAAGAATACAAAAAAGAAAGTGTTTGGAAATAAATATACACTCTCAAAGTGTGGATATACAACTTAAAGCACTATGGGTATATGGATTTTCACAATATGTGCTCAAATATGTTTGATCTTTGAAAGATATGAAAGAATATGCAAATGATAGTGTAGAGACTCTCAAAGTATGCTTAAGATGTGTAAAAATGATGCCTTAAATGTTCTAAAACCGTTGGGAATTCATATATAGTGTTTCCATTGAAAACTAGCCGTTTATAGCCATTATATGCATTATAGACAGTAAGGATTCTAATCCTTTTGTAAGGGATTTGAATCCTTGCTTCTGGGAACAAGGGATTCGAATCCTCCCTTAACAACAAGAATATTGTTTCGTATTTTGGGCGTAACTTGAGTTATTCTTGTTGGATTGATGTGATTTTAGTCTTGTTGGAAAGATAAGAGAGAGATATACAAATTTTATGAAAAATACAAGATACAAATACATCATCTTGGATACGAAAAGTAATCTAGAAGACAACAGCAAAACAATGCAGCAAATTTTAAGTTCAAATGTCTTCTAGCTTGCTTGTAACTACTTTTTGTGAAAAATCTTGATTTGATAAATATGTTTTGAAATTATAAAATATGTCAAGGATCTTTTCCATGAGTTTTTCAAATTTCTTTCAAGTATATAAAGGTTATGGATTGTGCAATTTGAAAAACATGTTTATTTTGAGAAAAACTTTGAGCTCGTGCAATGCAATCTATCATATATATATATCCTTACAATCATATCTAAGTCCTAAAAGTATATTCTAATAATGAATTTGACTTAGCTTGTTGCTTTCAATCTTGGATCTTGATCCTCACTTGAAATTAATGCTTTGACTTGTTGGCTATGACTGTTGGACAAGTGGCTTCAATACTCAAGAGGGGGGTGAATTGAGTTTTACAAAAAAAATTCGCAAAGTGCCTCCTTTGATATTTTAAAGATTATTTCTTCAATAAAGTTTTAATAAAGAAAATTCTAAGTGTGAGAGCAAGTGTAGAGATTAACAAAGTAAGCAAGCAAATGATTAAAGATAATCTAAAAATGCAATTTCAATATTTAAGTAAAGAGGTAAAGGTTAGAGAAATTGCAAACTAGATATATCCTGGTTCGGTCACCACCACCGTGACCTACGTCCAGACTGAAGCCGCTCGATCAATACTTTTCACTAACTATCAAGCTTGTGGGTGCTTGACAAACCTCTACAACCTTTCAAGACTTCGGGCTCTTGATGCCTCACAATTTTTCACTCCAAATTTTCTTAGGAATTTGGTGACCTCTCTAGTATAGGATTCACTCCCCTCTCAAATCAAGAAGTAAGATTGAGGTGATTAAAAGTGGCTAAGTACTCTCAAAGTACAGATTGCACAAATTGAAGAACTAATAGATGTATAACTTCAAAGGAAAGATGAGCTCAAGTGTATGCAATGATCAAAGTAAGTGATTAATAAGCAATAATAGGCTAGAAAGAGTAACAAAGCTTCAATAATTGATCTATGGTCGTGTACTGTTCATCATGACTGATGTGGGTATTTATATTGACACCTCCTTTGAAAACTAGCTGTTTCTAGCCGTTGTAATCCGTACATATCCGGATATTTATCGGGCTCATATCCGGATATGGATATCCGGATATGGTATCCGAATATTGATATCCGAATATTGATATCCGGATATTCTCAGTGCAATATCCGGATATTTCATGGCAGCATCCTTTTTGCTCGAATTCTGAGTTTCTTTTCTTTTAAAAAGGTTTTTATGACTTGTGATTCATGAAGTTTGTTATGGAAACTGTCTTGAAGCGTTTAAATCATGTAGGTACCTTTTTCAAATCAATTTTGGACGAGTCAAACCTTTTGTTTTGATATTTCTTTAAGGATGCATGCTTTTGAAATATATGAGTGATGAATGAACTTGAGCTCATGTAATGCTAGAATTTATACACATTTACACATTTTTCATAAGTCCTAAATGAATATACCATTTGAGATTTTGAACTTGGATTGATGCTTGAGACTTGGTGCTTGCATGCTTTCACTTTTGAGTTTCTTTTGGATGTTGCGTCGTCCTTGAGCATTCCTCTTTGTTATCATCAAAACTATGTTGACGTGGAATCATCAAGTGTACGTTTCATCCACATCATCACTTTGATTCATCAATGACAATGCTTGGCATTATGTTGGTTTTGATCTTTTTTCACTATTGTTATGATATTGAGCTTCTCTTATATGTTGTCCATGGTTTGTTGCCTTTAATCTTCAATGCTTATCCTTGTTCTTGTCACTTTGATGACTCATCATTCTTCTTGTATGACTTTTTCATATATATTTAATCTTCACGTAGGCATGTTGCTTTTTGCTCTTGATCAAGATTGTTCTCTTTTTGTTGTTGTCATTTTGTTATCATCAAAACATACCTTGTATCTACAGACTGGATATAAATGAAACAATAATTATTATACCTACTATGAGTAATTGGTATAGAAGTACTCAATAGTCGTGGAAACTTAATAGACATAATTATTGAACAAAAGGAATGGTAACTTAAAGGTGTCTGTTAATTAATGTAGGCCTCCAAATTGCAGCATTGGAAACAAAGAGAAAATTTATAAATGTGTTTTTATATATATTAATTATGGTTGCCACAACTTATGTAAATTAATATAGCCATATGTAATTTAATTGCAGTTGCCTACTTAAATCATGATTGAAATGATGTTTGCCATTAATAAGGATATAGAACAGAATGTGAAATTGGTAACTAGTGTATATAAAGAGAATTGATTATTTCAAAAATTCACAGTGTATTCTTTACTAATAATTAATTAAAAAACATTACATCACTTTGACTATATATATTTGTATATAAATGGTGAAAACAATGTTTCTTTTTTTTTTTTTTTAGTAACTACAAAATGTTGTTTTAAATGATAACCAAAAAATGCATACTAATGTTGTTGATTTTTTTAAGTAAATACACAAAGTTGTTTTAAGTTTTAACCATTTCCTACCGAAATCTCTGAAAAATGAAAATTGATGGGGAAATACGAAGAGTCTTATGTTAATTATTGGCTTTGGAGAAAGAAAAGATAAAAAAACATTAATGCAACTATTAAGTATTTAACAAACTATTATGTCTATTCGGCTGATGTGTTAGCATTAATTATCATACCTGTAAAGATTAACACACTTACGTAAGTACCCCCAAAGATTAACACACTTATGTTAGTCATGCATATCGACTAGGATTGCGTTCTAAATTGGAAATGTCATAACTATTAATATTACATATTATAATGCAGAACAATTTGTTTATAGCAATAAACTGAAGTGTTGCAGTTGCCATCGTAATTGTTGATTGCAGTTGCCAACATCAGACGTAATTGCTTATACCCTTCTAAAAATGAAACAACACATTAACATAGTAATTGCTATAAGTTGTCATAATTATTATAACAGTAAATGTTAATACGTATGGAAGTACACAAATAAGATGGGTGAAGTTCAATCGTTATACGATTGATGAAAATTTAAAGGTCACTCACTCTAACGAACAAATTAATTGCTTATAGCAATGAAGGGAAGTGTTGCATCATACGTGATTGCTTTACTATGTCTAAAAATGAAACGACACATTAACATTGTAATTATTTGTGGAAGTTCAACAACAGACTTTAATGTGAATTGACAAATACGAGGAGTTGAATTAGTGAATACAAGGAAAGGAATGAAATTTTAAATTTTAAAAGAAAAGGCTATACAAACATACGAAAAGGAATTTTAAAAGTAAAATTAAAGTCGTTTGGAATGAATGAAGTTTTAATGGTCAGACTAAAGAAACACATTAGTTCATTCATTTTGGTGAACATTCTCAATCATTATGTCTGTCCTTCAACCGAAACAACCTTCATTATATATCGTCAAGGTGAAGTTTCTTATTCCTATTGCATTTTCTGAAACCTTCACTTTACATCGTTCATTAAACCATTTGTCAAGCATTCCATCTTTGTTCAATATAATGGTTGATTCATCTGCTGTCAAGAAGGGAAGGATTGAGAACCAACAACATAAGTCGCTCAAAACTATTCCAGCCAATTTTTTATTGGAGGTGTTTGCAAATGTTGCATCTTATTCAATTGAAGACATCTGCAATATGTCAAACCAACCTGTAAAGATTTTCTTCATGTTACGGAGGATGATTATGTGTATGAACATGCGTCGTGGAAAAGGATGAAGATAATTATGATAATGGGATTACATGTGAATTTTGCAAGGCAGACTATGAACTGGAATTTATTTTGTAGAATGTTAATAGTCTAATTTCATTTTTTAGACTGTTAAGTTTTAAATTGGTGTCTTTGTATTCGTCGGTGATGTTGAACAATTGTTAATGAAAGTTTAATGTTTTGCAGTATATCTTTTTCTGGTGTAATTATGTAATTTGTTGAATACTTGCTAAAGCAATTGTTAATCTATGTATGATTTGAAGAACACGTTTTTATATAGCAATGAACAGAAGTCAAAAAAATAATATGAAAGGCCTTTTAATGTTACATATTATTATGTAGAACGCGTTTTTATATAGTAATGAACGCCATTGTTAAATACATAATGTTTTAAAATGCGTGCTATTGAACAAATATTAAAAGAATATATACGCAATGGTGCTAAAGCAATTGAAGAAAATCATTTTTGTTGTTAAATACATCCTTGATAGTCCAATAGAATACAATATATGTTCCAATGCTTTTGAACTACGAAATATGTGTGCGATATTGTTATTGTTGAGGTGGTTATAGCTCCTATCATTTATGTCATACTCTTTTAATTGGCATATTTTATATAGTTAAAAATATTAAACAAAAAAATTAATATTGTATCTTGTGGAATATAATAATTAAAACGTTAAATTTTGTTTGGTTGAAATAATAATAAAGATTTATACGATGGTGAGTGAATAAATACAGGTGCTCCAGTTGCCACCATAAGTGATCATTGCTTTACATCAATGAAAAATCAAATGACACACTCCATGGGATTTTAAACTTATTAATTACATTTGTCAATTCGATTAATAGAAATAGGAAATTATAAAATCATTAATGGAGAGAATTAGTGGCAGATTGTTATGTTAATGCATATATATCATAATTAGTGGAATTTTAAAGGTCACTATAATGAACAGAATGCTTATAGCAATGAAGGGAAGTGATTACAATGAACATAATTAGTGGCAGATTCGTCTCAGAATATCTTTTTTTTTTTCTCATACTTTGTATGTTCACAGTATAAAACGATTACAGAACTTGTGCTCCCCCACATTATGGGAGCACAATACATTTGAAGATAATAGGAATGAGTAGAGATGAATAAATATACAGGCCTCATTCTCTAGCCTAAAATCTTAAAACGAGGTAATAAAGCAAGAGGCCAATCCAATTGTATTACAATGAAATGAGAGATAAAATCACCATGTAAAAAGCACTGAAATCTTTTCTGAATGGTTGATGAGGGCCTAAATATATGCTTAAGTGTTATAACCACTGCACATACCATATTACTCCTTCATTCACCAAGGAAGAACTTGAATATATCACTCAATGAAACAATGCCTTCTACACGCTTGCTCCCAGCTTCCACAATAACAAGCCGCCTCACACCTGAACCCATTTTTAGCATGACAATCTTCAAAATGAAATCCATGGATATCTGGAAAAACTAAACTTACTGCTAAATCAAGTTAGCAAAAAACACTGCAACAAATTGAATATTGCAGTTGTAACTTCTATGCCACAACTTGGACACATAACTCTTCATTGTTTATATTGATATTCCCTCCACTTGATATCCAACTCTATTACCAAAAACCCAAGAAATAGCTTATGCTATGAAAATAAAGAAGAAAAATTTCATTACTACTTCAACGACATGGAGCCCAACTTACACCCACTTTCTACAATTAAGCAACTTCTTATTTTAAAAGGACACAAAATTGGCCATAAGTGTCTGAATTTAATTTTTATTTTTGTGAACACTCATTGTGGGTGCCACTAAACACTGCTAGTTACAGACTTACCACCCTTCAAGCTGGCTATAATGTATTAAATGCTATGTCAACAATCTATATAATCCTTGGGGAAAAAAGAATTTTAAGTTTGGCTTAAGAAAACCATCAGAAATTTGGCAGAGGACAGAGAACTAACCCAATGTTGACACAGAAAATTGGACTCACATTGTCAAGCATGGCATCCAAAAACAACATAAATATAGCACATATATCATTACAAGGAGTAATAATTATCTATCCTCCATATTCATTGAATATTTGGGGGTACAAGTCTATAAAATAAGATATTGGTTTCCATCAATATTGGAAGACACAAATGAATGTTCACAAGAACCGAAGGCTAACATAGGAAGTCAATGACCAAATGAAAATTAACAAAAAATAATCTTGAAAGAAAAGCCAGCCATGTAGAAAAAGAAACTCAAAGTCATGCTTCACCAAAAAAAGGAAAAAGGAAAAACAAGCCCACCTGGATTTGCCAGACGTTCCATCACTTTATGCAGAGAATCAGAACGCAAACACATCTGACATCTTTGACTTCTAAGCTCATAGGGACTATATGCGTCCTGGCCCAACTGCAAAGCCTGGACAATAAAGCATGCAAGAGATACTATGATCTCAAGAAGAAAATCACTAAAAAAAAAAGGGCCTCCATATAAATAAAGTATGCAACCTTAGCTTAGACTTCAGACTGACAAAGACACTACCATTAATTACAGCTTAAAATGAAATCTTTTTTCTTTTTTCTTTTTCTTTTTTTTTAAAAAAAAAATAATTCTCAATTAACATCAATCAAGAGAAACAAATACACAAATTAGCAAAAATCACACAAATGTTGACCCGCCGCCAAACATGTTCTACAATATCAGTCCATTAGTCCAGGAAGCTTAGAAATCCTTGGCACTGATATGGTTGCTGTGATTGAGATATGAGTGCTCAGTATGTCATAAGCTTGTTTCGAAGTTGCAATTACCAGAAACATTCCACAGAGCTCATGGACCTCATTCTGTACTGATCCTTAACCTTCATAGTCCGTCAGATTTAATCAAGCAGCTTCAAAAGAAATTTGAATTTCCTTCTTTATAAACTTTACAGTTCCAGGACAACAAAAATATTCTCATGCTGGATTTATCCGACCTATGACCTATCATGCAGCAAACCTTCTCAACGAAACTACTTACCAATTTGTCATACTTATCAACTCATTAATCATTGTCAAGGTTCCTTTTTCTTCCTACTTCTCTAATTTTTCCCCCAGCTCCTGAAACTCGATTCCATCTGTATATCAGCTCGTACTAACCACCAAATTGCTACAAGATTGACCTGGATTATTGCCTATATTTCTAGTTCCCCCACCTAACCATTGATGAAAGTTAGGATTCACCAAAGGTACCAACAGAGGTCTATTTATACCAACATTCATAAGATAAAGTCATCACTAAAGTTCACACAAGCTTCAGCAGGAAAATACAGGACAAAGAAGACAAATCTTCATTGGTAGAAGTGCACATATATATATTTACAATGTTCAAATTAAGCCACAGATGCATATTAACGCTAAATATCAAAAAGAAGTGTGTGTCAATACAGCATCGATAACGTTAATATTGGAAGAAAAATAAAGAATCAAACTCGATATCATTTTTAACATTACTCAAGCATCTATTTATTCATCAACGTATGTTGACTGTCAACCACTAGATCTATTCAACAGCCAATAATCAAGAAAAAGAGACATAAGATCTCATTCAAGACATAACAATAAATTATTTCAAGAATAAAGGATAATATATACTTAAACGAGACCCAAAACAATAAATCAAAGCATCTCTCCTATAGTTGACCCTATGCTGTATGATGCCAACTAAAATGCTTTCTAAAAAGAAATTTATCACAGAAAGTGTGCTGAATAAATCTATAAATTCTTAAGATCATCTTTGGTGTCCCCTAGGCTCAGCAGACTTCCTAACCAAATTAATAAGGAAAAGATGAACTCAGAACATATTTGTATTTTGTAATTTTTAAACTATAAATTGTCAGCAGAAGTTTATTGGTAAGCAAAAATTAAAAAAAAAAAAAAAACTTACCTGATGAACAGTCATTTCATCAAGATTAATATGTGTATATGCTCTGTCCTTTGCCAAAGCCGTTATGTCACTATCAAAAAAGAAGTGCGGGGAGGAAAGTGAGAAGCATTTACAAGACACTACGAAGAATGAAATGATCAGAGGACAATTTAATGCTAGAACCACAGATTGACTCTACAGTATATCAAACAAGGCATCATGAAGTACAATAATAAGGATATAAAAACAAACCTCCGACAATATACATCAAGTAACGAGTCATTATCATCGACTATCGGTATTGAACTTACTTGGGCTGCAAAAGCAAAAGGCAAGAAGTAATGTAAGCAAAATTATGCTCATGTTCAAAGCAAACATTTCTTTTATTTGATGCTTGAATCAAAAAATGGTATCACCCCATCAAATTCGTGTTCTCTTTTGATAATTAATCACAAATCAACTTTCTTCTAAAAGTGTAGACAGTGCCCTCTACCATCAGCCTAATACCTCAGAAGTATAATAGGATACCAATTTCTTCATTCTTTCTCTCTGTTGCTTTTCTTTTTGATACACTATGTTCAAGGTCAGACAAAAAGTTCACACCTTGAACTAACAAATTTAGGGCTGAAGCGAGAGAAGCACTTGGTCTCAGCATTGCTAGAGGCCGCCGATTTGATTCCCCGATTTTAGGCATCCACGTGCCCACAGGTATTGCACCGATTGGAAGTTGAAGTATAGGCAATGAACTAGAGCAATTCCTAAAATACCTACAAATACCTGAAAAATCAATTTGGTAAGCATAAAGCATACTTAATAACATTATAAAGAAAGCTATCATCAAAGCTCACATTTAAGTATTCCAGAAAGTGAAGCAAGATGTAGTAACTGAGGAAATGAACCATCTTCAGAAGATGAATGGATAATAGGAACTGTTGAAACCTCCTTTTGCACGATCTTCATGGCAATGTCTTTCAGATTATCATATGGCCCTGCCTGCATAATAAAAGAATATTCAAAAAGGATGTCAAACATAGTAAGTAAGCTATATCAGAGCTGCTGCAATAGACATGTGCCTTTAATTAAAGCATAAAATGAAAACTAGTGAAATCACTCAATCATTTCATGATTGAGAATACATCTATACAAGCTAAGGCCAAGATAGGTTTTCAAGAAGATTACAAAGGCAATTCTCCATGCCTAGAAATTTAACATTCAAGATCATCTGCCTTTCAATTTTGGAAACAACCTCCCTTTAGTCTGCAATTTCCATGCCTTGACTGTCAATAGACACTTGGTATTCAAAACAGACTGAATTTAAACTTAAGAAAACAAAAATAAAAATGAACAAGAGATAAAAGGGATATCGCAAGAGCAACAGTATTTTATTCATTTTAGTTTGATAAGGAAGAGGCCCAAGTTATATCTCAATTTCTTTTCAACCTGAAATAAGTAATAACAGCAAATGAAAATGGATGGGCATTAAATAATAATACTAATATATGACAATTTAAAGTCCTAATGTGTTGCTAATATATACCTGGCCAAGATCTTGTCATCATTACATTGGTTCTTATATCTAGAGTAACAACCCTCCTGCCATTTGCATATGCCATGGGTTTCCTCACAGCTTAGTGAAAGGTTAAGAAAATATATTTATTTAGATTAAGTTGCCAGTAATTTGAAAAGTATAAAAGACAAATTTTCCTAAACTGCAAGGACATGCATTCCTGCCTTTTAGTATCGACACACAAGTCTAGGCAAGAAATTTGATAACCTGCATAAGCTTCAAGTTGATTTTTAAAAATAGACCTCTTTAAGATTTCTTTTTCATTCCTTTACACATGTTGCAGAATGCAGACACTATTCTACATTGAACCTACGTTACGCAGAGATCGAATTACAAAAAAAAAAATCCAGGGCTACAATTAACTCAAGCTTCTCATTATATTCCAAAAAACATGAGAATCTTTATATATATTTTACAAACCATAATCTGCAAGTAGTCCAAATATGAGCCGTATGACATACTAAAGCCATACAAAACACTTACATGGATAAAAAAAGGTCTGGAAAATGCAGTTCCATGCCCATTGTTCTGTCTATTTAGATATGATTTTCCTTCTTTCCAAGCTGAAACGGTATGTGTTTCAAGCTCCTCTTCTGTCAGATTGGACCCATGATTCCCCAGCTGAGAATAGGACAATAACAAGTTACAACAGGCATTACAAAATATATGTATGAACACATGAACTTTACAGGTAGCCATGTAAAAGATTGAAGAATAATTGCTAGTCGTACACAAAGCCCCTAAGGAACCTTAGTTACATATTCTACTAATCCTCAACATCAACAATAGTAAGTTAACAAATACTAATTTCTTCTTCTTAACAAACAATACAGAAAAAGAAAATTAAAATTGATTAAATCCCATCATTAGGGAATTATTTTTTCCCAAGACATTTCAACCCTCCCTTTGTATAAACAATCCAGCGAAGTGGCTCTTGTAAGTTGGAAAAAAGGTCAGATATAAGGGAGGAAGTTGACTCTCATTAAAATCACTCTCTAAAGCTAGGATACTTAGTAAGCAACCTTGTTTCAGGTTACTGCTTCTACAGCAACATTGGATGGTAAAAAACATACTCTATAATAACTCTGAAAGAAGAGTTTAGACTCTGGCCCTTCTGGTGCATTTTCTTGTAAACCCTTTTTTCAGTTCATAACTCATTCCCCAAATAGCAAAAGTCTCCTCCTAGGCTAAGCCATTAGGAAGTCAAAGGCACCCTCTAAGATCAAATCTGTTGTTTGGATGGTGGCACTAAATAGGATTAACGCAAATGAGATGCTTCAGATAACAAGGAAGCTACTTTCCTTCTTGGGATTTTCAAGAAGCAGTTCATGGGTCCTCATAACAGTTTCTGTAGGATTGCTACGAAGAATTTGGTAACAAGGAAACTGCCAAAATTTTGTGGCAGCATGCAATTTATTCAATTCTTTGGTGCACTTGGCTGAAGCCTAACACTCGCATTTTCAAAGGGCTACCTTACCATTAAATCTTCTTTTGGACAAGATTGTGTCTTAGCCTCTCTTTGATGTTCAGCCCAAGGTTGTTTTAAAATAGTTTTTCCATCTCTGACTTGCAGAGATTGGGCAACTCCATTGCACACTTAGTTTTCTCTTAGTCTTTTATTTTCTTCCTTTTGTATTTGCATGGTACATCTTGCCCTCATCATAATTTCTTTCCCTTCTCTCAAATTAAAAATATTTTTCTATCCAAAAACGGAAAGAAAAAAATTCTCTATAAAAGGGATGAGAAGAAATATTATTTTAGTTGGTTTACTGGAATGAGTGTTCAAACCATTTTTTCAATGTGATTGATTAATATGAGCCACATGCAGCTTAATTGAATTAGATTATCAAAAGGATGTTGTGAGTAGCAGACTTGCAGTGGAGATCAGGATGACGATAGGAATGAACTATAGTACAAGTTCCATATTATTGAGGGGACTGGTGTAACTAACAGAGCAAATTTTATGATTTGGATTATTTGAAGCTGAGAATGGGATGCATGATTTCTTTTCAGATGAAGATCTGTGTACAAATTCTTTTTCATGGAAAAAAGTTATGAGTAAACAAGTTAAAAAATTTATCTTCTGATCTTTGCATAATTCCAAGGATAAACTATGCACTGCAGCTAGTCAGACAGAGTTATCTGAAAATATGCAATTTGAATAAGCAGTTTAACCATACTCACAAAATCTTGAAATTGATTCTCAACAACTATATCTGGTACCCATATCATATTATGCTGGAAACTACTAAAATCAATATCAATATCAATCATCTTCAATGAACATTGTCATTGTGCATATCAAGGTTAGAATTATCCACTAAGACAAACACAAGATTCAATTTCTGATGTGTCCTTTTACAAATGGATTCATCATTTCTACGATCAACATCAAATAACTTGAGATAAAAAAATGGCCACAAGTCAGTGCTATTTATGCAAACAACATGCAGAGTCAATTGATTATTTGTTCATTCATTGCCAATTGTTCAAACATAATGAAAATTGTCTATATTTTTAGTAATTCGTTCCTGCCAATCACCAATGGACTCATTAAGTGTCAAAGGTGGAGAAACATTTCTTTAAAGAAGTTGATTGCACAAGAAAATTGTCCAGGCATACAAGTACACTGCTTGATTGGAATAGGAAGGCCAACCTTTCAAGAACAAAAATCATTGTAATCATGCAAGATATATTTATTATAGTTTTCTTAATTGTTTTTCTTTTTTCCCATTTACTTTTGCTGCCTGGTTTTGAAACTTGTCATACATCTTGTATATGTCATATATTTTCCTTTCTAAGTCACTTAACATCCACACAAATCATCATGAGAAGAGCTTTGCATTCAAAAAAGAAAACTTGCCAATACAAGGAGATAATGATCTTAAATTTAAGATACATCTATTAAAATTAAAATAAAATATAAAACACATACCTCTCTTAAAATTAGAATAAAATCCAAAGCACTAAGAACACCAACAAATTGTCCCTTGCAGAAGTCCCAAAGTGGAGCCATGAAAATTCCCTGTAAATTATCCAGATTAGAAAAATTGCATATGTAAACTTCTAATCAGCAATGGATGAAGACGCAATAAAACTAAAACAGAGAAAGCTATAACATGTAACCAAAGAAGGAAAAGACTTGAATCATTGTCAAAGCTAAGCTGCTGAAACAATTGGTCAAATTACAGAGAATAATTCAAAAAGGAAGAGTCTTGTCTCTCCTATTTATTAGAGTAAAGGCAAGTAAAGTGACATGATAGCAATCAAGCATGTTTTAGCAAAGTTATTCAATATATGCAAAAAGGGCTCCCCAAATTGTAATCTAAGATAAACAAAGAGGTACGGTACCTGCTCATGCAGTATATGAAATGCCTGTTTCACTGGCAGATCAACATCCAAGGCAACAACCTGCAGCCAGGAGTCAATAAATCAGTAAGATTGTAATTTGCAATTTGTGTGACTGTACGTTAATCATAAAGTCCAAAATAAAGGGTCAATGGTAAAACTTCCAAACCTTGCCTGACTCAGGAAATAATTCATAAGCTGTGTGCATAGACAGAAATGCAGAAATACGCTGACAGGAGATCTGTACATCAGCATCTGATATTCTTGGCAGAACCTCACTCAATGTACCATCCGTCAACCGAACCTGCTTTATAAGTGAGCTACATATTATATTTGATGTCCGAACTATTAAATTTCAGATGCAAATAAACAAGAGTACAGTTTTAGACATGAGCAGAAATCAAAATCTAAAAGGTAACAGAATAAACATGCGCAACATGACATTGTAAGTTACAAGGGCTATGACTTATGACAAATAAGACAATCAGGAAGATTATATTTTGTTGTATTGCAAATAGAAGGCTCAATAGACCTACATAGATCAAAATTACTGGATTCAAAGTCCTAAACAAATAACAAAGTGGGTTTCTAGGAGTTCTAAAATGAGATGCAAAAAATTCTCTAGAGTCCATACAGATCATATTAGCACTGTCCTTTGAAATTTCATTCAAAAGTATAGCCAAAAGTCAATGTACAAATAGTGGCCAGGTTGATAACAACAAACACAACTAACTCTTACCCCACGGCGAAAAGCCTCATTATCCACATCCATGTTATTTCCAGAAGCAATATCTGGGGTTAAAACAGGTATGTAGTTAGGATCAGTAGCCAAGAAGACAGTGTTGACTATCCCATATTCTCCAGGTACAAAAGGCTGATGCTCATCATGCCGCCATTCTCCATCAACAAAAAACTTGTACTGCATTCATATAACTTCATGATAAGTATCTAGCCGCCAAGAATAAAGGCCAAACATTATCTTAAATTAGCATCTTTTCAATTCAACTACTATGTATCATAATCAGATACTTGCAATCTCAAAAGTGAGTAGTATACTGCTGCTAAAACTCCGATAACAATCATTGACACAACAAAATAACATTTAAAAAAAAATAATATTGAAAAAGATAAATTATGAAACAGGAACTAGTATTCTAAACCTCTGAACATAACCTCAAGCACCAATATCCCATTACATTCCATATCAAGTATCAACCAGACTTCATATTAAACCATTAATTTTAATTTTTTTTTTTTTTTTGGGCTGTCTAGAAGTAATATAGAGCTAATTCAGTGCTATTAAAAGGAATACTTTGCTACTGAAACATCTCTCTGAAAAACTGCCAATAAAAATTATCTAATCTACAGAACCAGACAACCACATATATAATCTAGAAAGACTTGAAACTTTCTATCCAATCACCTCTAATACTAACACAAAAATGCCAGTAAGTCAGTGACATAAACTAACCTGATGATAACCAGGGGGCAAGCTATAAATAACTTGAAACACAGTTGGGCAACCTTCGACTGGCGACATTGGAAGAAGCTGAGACCACCTTTAAGACAAAATTTACATTAAAAAACACACACACACACACACACATATGCAAGACTAAACTAGAGCATTCTCACCAAAACGGGTAGCAAAGAGATTAAGATATTCATGTAGCAACAACAAAATACTCACCGTGTGAAAGAACCACTGAGAAACACACTCCTTCCGCCATATGGCCACACAAACCGCATGGGAATTAGCACTGTCCCTGCAACATCACCCGCATCCCTTACAGAATCCATACTCTGATTGAACATTCAACCTCGAATTGAGAGTCCTACTTTGAGAATACCCTCCAAGCACCACGCTTCATCGCAGCATGTCACTTTGTTCAGTTCGCAGGGTCCAAATTCCAGTAAATGCCGCACAAATTCAATGCACTACGAAGCCCAAGATGCAGGAGGAAAAAAATTCATCCCAAATCAAAAATCCGCTAAGGAAAAAAGAAAAAGCTTGGATTTTGATTCTTTATTCGACGGAAAAATCAAAAACAAAAAGTGCCCATTTCTCACTGCAACAGAACCAACGAAGAAATTGAAGCGGGTACGAAAATGAACACTCCCAATTAAACTTGCACGCAACAAACCATTGACAAGCACTCACAAAACCCTAACCTTAAATTGAAAAAAACCTACCAAATTCAACCTGGAAGAGCCACGAATCTGGGAAAACCAAAGCACAGTCTCAGGTGAAAACAAAGAAAAAATGGAAACCCTATTGCAACATCAGAAGCCACTTGTTGAGAAAACCAAGAGAGATTTATCCCGGAAAGGGAAAACAAAAATAAAATAAAATTTTATGTTATTAAAAAAAGTTGTAGTAAGGTCAATGAATTATTATTATTATGAAGGTGCTAATTTGCTAAAGCAAAATTATGAGACAGAGATTGTATTGTTAAATTGGAAAATGGGAATAATAAAAGAGGGTAAAAGGCTTAGGAAACACACGTGCGGTTTTGTTGTTTGATTTTGATTTGATGAAACATTTTTTTCAGGCCTTATTTAATTTTTCAGATTTTAAAGATAAGAAGAGGTTTTTCAGATTTGTTTACTGTGTATAGTCTTCAGTTTTCTATATTTTTGACAAATGTCAATGACTACGGATCACAATTTTCAAAAGAACTAGTGTATTACCCGTGCGTTGCACGGAGGGAAAAAAATCATTTTGTTTGTCTCGTAAAAACTAACGCAACACATGCAAGATGCCGAACCTACATTTTTTATCCTTCATCCTCTGAGGAATGAATGAGTAATAATGTACAAATGAAAGTATGAAAAAAAAAGACACACGAACATGTGAGTACAAATAAAAAGTGTCATAACAATACATCCATATATGGATGATGATGGATATTGTTTGTTCAAAAATAGCAATTAACAATATACCATGTGTGCATGAAAAACGATTCCTGCATGAGAAAAAAAAAATTAGCAGTTAAAAAAATCAAACGGTAACGAAAATAAGTAAAAAAGCACTCCATTGCCATTTTTTTTGTCTTTACCTGTACCAAGCAGTGATGTTATCTCATAGTAGACAGGAGGAAATTCACGACATTAATCTTTGAAATACTTCCTTGTAAACTATATTAAGGGTACTATTTGTAACACAACCGTTTTCATCAAGTATCAATTTCTTCAATCCATGCTTGCTCTTTACTCTAGACAGTGCCACATATAATTGCCCATGAGTGAAGACAGGCTTGGGGAGATAAATTGCAACATGAGAAAGAGATTGTCCTTGGCTCTTATTGATAGTCATGGCAAATGAAACAATCAAGGGGAATTGTCTTCTTTGGAAATTTATAGGAAATGTGTGACTTGATGGGCTCATCGTCATTCTAGGGATTAACACAGTTTCACCTATATTGCTTCCTGTAAGAACAATTGCCTCAACAACATGATTCCCCAATTTTGTAATGAGGAGCCTTGTGCCATTGCATAAACCTCTGGACTGATCAATATTTCTCAATAGCATTACTGGAACTTTAACCTTCAAGGTTAATTTATGATCAGGAATCCCTGAACACGATAATGTATTTAAGATCTCAGGTGTGAATTCATCATCTTCAACGGAGGAAGCCACATCTTGCTTCAGAATTTTATCAGAACTCAAAAATATCCTTTCTTCACTAAGAATCATCGCCATCAGGTGCTCGTTCAGCATAGCAACATCAGACAATTTAGGAGTTAAGATAGCACGTTCTTTGAAAAACGTTGGATCTAAAATATTATCCAAGAGATTCGGATAAACAAAATTAACCATATCTGAAACGGGATCATCTGATTCTGTAATCAATAATTCATCTGGAATTGTTATCATAGATTCTTCATCTTCATCATCCCCAAGATCATCATCCCCAACTTTAAGTAGCCACTCCGAAAATTCTTTTATTTCATTCACATCATGAGTGGTACTTCCAGAATTAAGACGAATGTCCTTGGTCAAAGTTAATAAATGACAATAGGACCATAGATGAGAAGAATTTATGATTGCATTTACTATCTCCTGTCTGCTGCCATGAGGAATGACAGGTAATATTTGTCGAAAGTCACCTCCTAGAACAACAATTTTTCCACCAAATGGCATATCAACGAAACTTGTGTCAGAAAATCTAAGAACATCTCTAAGTGTTCTATCCAGAGCCTCAAAACAAAATGTATGCACCATTGGTGCTTCGTCCCAAATGGGAATACGAAATCTATAGTAGAATTTGACAGCAACTCTGCTATAGTAGAATTTGGCTTTATATTACACGTTAAATCTTCATTGATCTGAATAGGAATACGAAATCTAGAATGTGTTGTTCGTCCTCCAGGAAGCAGAAGGGAAGCAATTCCGCTAGAAGCAACATTAAGTACTATTTCAGCTTTTGATCTAACAGATGCTGAAAGAGTATTCCAAATAAATGTTTTTCCTGTACCACCAAATCCATATAGAAAGAATAACCCTCATTTACCTGCTGTAACTGTCGAAATGATTCTGTCATAAACAACTCTCTGCTCATCAGTGAGGGGATTCAATAGTCTCTGATGCTCTTCTCCCAATGAAAATGTGTCATACATTAATTCATCAACAACTAATCGATTATGCATATCAAGCAACGATTCCCTGGTGATGCGAGGCATTGACGGGTAATCAGAGAGGCATTTACCATTGCTCTGCAGCACCTTATCGATTTCAGCAAGTGTTATGTTTTTTATACTTTCTTCTGTAAGAAGCGCATCTAAAAAAAACCATAAAATACAAAGAAAAAAAAAGTTAAAATTAACAAAGAGAAAGACATAAAGGAAAGAATAAAACAGAAATAAATAATAAAGCAACATATGCTGAATTCGGGTAAAAAAATAGCGAAATAAAGAGTAAAGCAATATATACTGATTTTGGTTTTTAAAAAATATAAATGCGTTAAATATTATCATAACACGTACCTTGACGCCCTATTCTTTTCCTATGCCGATAAAGAACGTCGTCGGATAAAAAATTCCAACACTCTTCCCAAACTTTTTCAGGCCTGTTCATTGAGTTGGCAAATAACAATAGAGCAAACAGAGATCTAAGATAAGCAGCAGAACCCCATGAACTTGCCTCTTTAATTGCATCAATATACTCATTGTCATCATCTAGAAGTCCTAAAGAATAGCAGACATCCTTAAATGTAGGAAAAAGCACACCATTGATTGTTCTAAGATCTTCATAACTGGTACACCCCCATTGAAAAGTAAGCAACGTGCGAAGATAGAAATCTTCTCCATTATTGGCAGAAAAACGATTTATTCTCCCAATTGAAAATCCCACTTTTCTAGGATTTCATTCATGCATTTGGTCTTTGTAAACAAATTCAGTCGGGTACTCTGCATAAGTTAGATGCCTACCTTCTGGATATTTTTTATTTGCATCCATCCAAGACTCAAAGATTGATAGTCTAGACTCCGCCCTTGTCTTGACATCAGAAATCGAAGCATTATCACTGAAAATAATGTTCTTTTCATTGGGCAGGTGAAATGGCAATCTCTGAACAGGGGGTACCTGGAATGAATGTCAAATCCAAAAATTCTCCAAGAAGCTTCACATGCGGAGTCATACCTATAATAAATAAATAATTAAAACAACAAAGTTCATGAAAAAAGACACATCGATTTTTGGGAGAAGCAAAATCAGATCAGAGATAATTTTGAGTACCTGCAGCCATAAAACATTTTGATTTCATCTTTTGCATGATGTACGACAGTTGTCCCTCTATCATTCCCTTTGTGAATGTATTTAAAAAGATATTTAATGGCATTTCTTTGGCAAGTGTATTCAACATTGATATGAGCCTGATACTTTAAAAGAAGTTGTGCATTATACGGCACAACATAACGATTATCAAGTTCAACACCATTTTTGTTCACAACTCTCGCATCATTTCTTCTCTTATAATGAGGGAATCCATCGTCATCAATAGAAGTACGGGAGCAGAAGTTTTTTGGAAATTTTTTTGAACACCGTCCGTCATTCATGCAAGGAGATTTGTAATTTTCAGGACCACATGGACCATGTATCATGTAATTTGTGACAACTTGAAACAGCTGCGGATTGGAATCCTTGTCAGGAATTTCTGCTGAAATCAATTTATCAATATCAAGAGCACTTTCAGGCTTGTTTGAAGGGTGCAAGAATAGCAGAATATGAGCATGAGGTAGTCCGCACTTTTGGAATTCGATTGTACAAACATCTGTTACATTGACCAAAATACAACAGAAATAATGATAAGAAAATAACAATGTTATAGACAGTTTTATTGCATGTCATGATAAATTCCCTTAAAACTTGATTTAAATTATGAATAAAAAATAAATAAGTTTAGCATATACTTACATGCAATAACTTTGCCAAGAACATTTTGTTTCCTGAAATCATGTAACAAATCGTCTAATTTGAACTCGAATACTCTGCATAGAATATCAGGCCTATCTTCAGGGCTAAGCTGTCTAGCCCTTACAACTCGTGTGATTTCTGGCCACTTAGGATTACAGGTAATTGTTATAAAAAGATGAGGATACTCAGCCCAACGGCAAATTGCAAAAGCATATTTACAATTTTCAGCAATATATCTAGGTCCGCCTGTAAACGAAGTAGGTATAATGATACGTTTTCCAGTATTTACGGCTGCATCTTCACTTTTGTCGAATGAATGTTTTATATTTTTGTACAACTCAGCTCTGAGATGACTCTGGTTATATCGAATGAAATTAAGCCGTTCAAACTCAATCATAGTGTACGCATCAACCAGGAATTGTTGGAAAAGTTTCTTTGATTGAATGAGAATTTCTGACTCTCTTGATCGCATCTAAAGTCGAAAAGAAAAGAATTCCTTCATGCTGATAACAGCTCTTGCATTAGTCCTACCATTGGACACGATAGTACGCTCCACATCATCGCGATAACCGTCTTCACCGTAAGGAAATAACAATGGATACTGCAAGCCAAGATATAATGGATGCTTCACATCGATGTGTTGTAGTACTCTATCTTGGGTTTCAATAATGATATCCCTATCACACATAGCACTGTCTATATCTCCAACAATCAAAGCAGTCACTTCGGATGCTGTCGGAAAATTATAAACTCTTCCATCACTACCACGCTTTCGAATAAGCCTCAACTTCACACCATTAAAGTCATCTTCTTTATAACGGTCTCTAGCGCACCAGAAAGACTGAGCTATACTATTATGCTTATCCAACATCTGCTTCAAAGATAGGATAATTTCGGGATCGAGCTTATCTTCAGTACTTGTGGAACT